CCTGCGATTTAGCCTTGTGGATGGGCGGTGGTTGAGCTTGAGGGCTAGATTTCCTAACAGAAGAAACTCCAGCCATTTTCCAGGGACCTTCCTTTACAAGAGGGTGTCTTCTGGCCTTGCACCCTCCTTGTGTCCATGCTGCACGTGCACAAATTATCCCTCTGATTTGGAACCCTGCACAATCAGAGTTGCAAATCACAGGGAGGACCTACACTTCTGGGGAGGACCTATACTTTTTCTGTTAAGGGCCACATACCATCAGGGATAATCTGTTGGGGGCAACATGCTGGTGAGTGGGGCCAAAACCAGAAATGGGCATCCCCTTCTTTCTCTCCTTCCTTCCTTCCTTCCTTCCTTCCTTCCTTGTTTCTTCCACCCCATTTCCCCTTTATCACCCTATTTCCCCTTCTATGCCTCCCACATTAAACTAGGCCAAGACCCACAGGTGGCCCTCAGGCCACAGTTTTTCCATCCCTGCATATACGACGAGGCTTCTCTTCATATTTGTTAGTCCAAACATGTACAGTGTGGCAACAGGGATGGCCTCTTCTATTCCATCCATTTGCATGGAGGGAAACCCCCAAAACAAGCTTTGCAGTGAGTGCTGTGAATGTGCTTTGAACTCGCTGCTTATAGTGTGATGGTGCCTGTTAAAAAGAAACTGGATGGTGATACATGCTACCTGGCCAATCCGTCACTGCCACCTCCCCCTTCCATCCTGCCTGTTGGATAATAAGTTTCTTGAGAATGTTTCTGTCTCGGGAGGACGGGGAAATGGCAGAGGAGGACATGGTAGCAAGGGGGACTGGAGCATGAGAGGAGGGAACCAGGAGTGGGAGCATGCAAGGAGGCAGCTTGTTCACCTACTTCCTCCCACTGCCGCCATCTCCCCCTGTAGGGAGCGGGTGGTGCTGTGGTCTAAACCACTGAGTCTCTTGGTCTTGCTGATCGGAAGGTCAATGGTTTGAATCCGTACAACGGGGTGAGCTCCTGTTGCTCTGTCCCAGCTCCTGCCAACCTAGCAGTTCAAAAGCACACCAGTGCAAGTAGATAAATAGGTACCGCTGCGGTGGGAAGGTAAACGGCGTTTCTGTATGCTCAGGCTTCTGTCATGGTGTTACGCCAGAAGCAGTTTAGTCCTGCTGGCCACATGACCCAGAAAGCTGTCTGTGCACAAACACCAGCTCCCTCAGCCTGAAGTGAGATGAGCGCTGCAACCCCATAGTCACCTTTGACTGGACTTAACCATCCAGGGGTCCTTTACCTTTACCTGTACCTTCTTATCCTGCTGCTGGGTTCTTGAGATAGAAAAGCCCATTTCAGGAAATCAGTGTCAGGGCACTTAATTCCACAACAATAGGAAGAAAAAGAAGTGGCAGCATTGGCATGTCTGTAGTAAGTACCAGTTTCCGATTCAGTACTATGAACTTGTAGCCCTGCAGATGCTGTTGGAACTCCCACTCCCATCAGCCCCAGCCAGTTTTCCCAGTTGTCTTGGTTGATGGGAGCTGTAGTTCACCAGCATTTGAAGGGCCATTGGTTCCCCATATCTGGTATAGGAACACATACATTAAAAAGAGAGTTCACAATGTGTTCACAGCCCGTAGTTAAAGACTAACCACAGTAAAGGGTATTTTTATTATCTTTGCAGCGTCTTGAGGAAATTATGAAAAGAACTAGGAGAACAGAAGCTGCAGAGAAGGTAGATACTTCACTTCATCCTCTCTTTGTAGAAAACATTGCTACCTTCATATATAGATACATTTTCTGTCAGTGGAGCTTGTAACTTTTATTTAAAAAAATGATTTATTTTACAGAAATCAAATGAGCAGCAAAATGGGGAGATAGCAAAGGAAACAGGTATTACTTTTTTGATCCTCATCTCCTTTCGTTCTGAAATGATTATTATTCACAGCATGACTTGAGTAGGAGACAATTTTAAAAGCTGGCAGTCCAAATATATTTAACGAAAAGTCAATGATGAATCAAAGCATGTGAAAGCACATGATAGTCTGCTACAAACATAATTATCAGTGTGCAATTAAATATATAATTATCAGTGTGCAATTAAATATATAATTAGGAATACAAGCTTTTATTAGTTTAATTGCCAAATTAATCAACCAAAGCTTTAAATAATTAGTCAGTTGGGGGTCAGTTTTAATCAGTATGGGCAAAATCATCAGTCTTTCCAGCTGCACATGACCTATGGCCATGGCAGGGTCACTGATTTCAAGTGTAATTATGCTACTGTCATAAATTACTTTTATTTGCATTTTTTAAAACATGAAATTGGAAGGGCATAAATTATCTGTTACGATTTCTAAACAAAAGAGGTGCAAAAGGAGAGATTTCTTGCTAGATTGTTTTGTAAAGCCATGATGTTGTTACTAATTAGATATTAGAGGTTTTCCGAACACCAAGAGGGAAACCAAGTTGTTTGCAGAGCTTAATTGGATGCAGAACCCTCTATTTCTGTCTTTGCTTTAAGCCCGGAGCATATGATGTGCTAAGACAACCTTTCCCAACCAGGAACTCTCCAGATGTTTTGGTCTCCCAGCTCCCATCAGCCCCAACCAGCCAATGGTCAGGGGTGATGGGAGCCTGGAGTCAAAAACATCTGGAAGGCACCGGGTTTGAGAAGGATGTGCTATGGAATTAACACAGGAAAAAAGTAAGTCTGTTGGTACAACTAAGGATGATCCAGATGAGCGGCTTGTATCTCAAACAGGTTATTCAGATCTAATTTTTCTGTGTGCATGTTTGGCACATTGGCTTCCTCATGTTCATGTTTATTCTGTCATAGATAGTCATAGTCATTTTGTGGCTTGTCATCCACATCAGTAGGAGGAACTCCTCATAATTGTTCCTCTCCTGTTATCTGCTGCCTTTTCTGTTCTGAGCATGTACATGGATTGAAGTAAATGCACCCTTTTCTGTCAAAAGTGATGTGGAAAACTTTCCCCCCTTTCTCTAGCTGTGAGCACTCCATTAAGCCCTGCGATGGGTTCTCAGGTTCAGTGTGTGCCAGAATCTCCACGGAACGGGGAATTGCTCACCCATACCCACGTGCTAATTTCTCATCAGCCCACAGTCAACCTTGACAGGTGAGAGACCTGAACTGAGATGTCTCTAGCAATACCTGATGTTTCTTCTTACTGATATGAAAGCGTATTAAATCAGATTATTTTCCCTTTTTGGGTGTCTCCATCAGAAAGTTTTCATCATCTACTCAACACAACCAAACAACCCCCAGCAATCAAATACACTGAGTACTACTGTATTCAGTGTCTGTCAAATGTTCCTACATTAAATATTGTCGTTCTTATCAAACCACTTAAAAGCACAGCTTGCTGCTTGGTAGCTAAGAGCATGCCCTTTAAATTTTAATGAGACATTTTCTCCTCCTATCTGCACTACACCATTATTGAAAAAGAAGTTGCTGTAGGAAATACATTGCTAGATTTCTGCTTTTCGTTGTACAGAAAAGAATGGTAGCTCTCTTACATGAGTGTCAGTCAGCATGTCTGAGTTTTTTTTTAAGCTTTTTTATAACTAGAATCAGAGCAACAATATCCTTTGTGTATACAAAGATTTCTTTGCACTTCCTGGGCGGGGAGCACAGTTAGCAGCGGCACAGCTATCTAGCTTCTCATAGTCACACTTTTCACACATAGACTTGGAGGAAGCTTGTTTCCCACTCTTCAGAATAAGCCATCGAGAACCTTGTGCTTAGGCATGTCCCTTCTCCTCTCCTCATCTTTCATGCTCATGAGGAGGTGGTCAGAAGCTTCCACTTTTCATTTTAAACTACTGTTCCTTATGATGACCAAATCATCATCTGCATATCCAATGAACAACCAAGCAACAAGGATGGCCAACCTGAACAGCACTGTTTATTGTGCCAGAGCAGGAAAGGTGCCTTAAGGCAAAATGAAAACAGCTACTCCAACCCTTAACACTATACAAAGCTCATTAGAAGTGAAATATGTTCAGTATTTAAAGGGAAAACTGCACCCGCCAATGTTTAATTCTGCTTCAAATTAATTAGCAAGTACCACCTGGCTGTCAATATTTATCATTGTGTATATTGGTTATCTGTCTCTTTAGATTGAATGTTATATCTGCAAATTGTGTAAACTCTAGAGAGGTGTATATTGGCAGAAAAGCAGACTAAAACAAGAATACCTGATGCATCCAATTTGCATAAATAATATTGAATTGTTAAATCAGAGGACACTTTCTTGACACTCATGGGTTAGAAGTGGTGAAAATTTGTTATTGGCCACTATTTTGACATGACCAACAGTATTTGCATTGTAACTCATTTTGCACCATTGGTGCCTGACAAATTCTGTGTACATTAATGTTAAGAAGAGCCTGCCCCTCCAGTGACCCATCTAGTCCAGCATCCTGTTCTCACAGTGGCCAACCAGATGCCTGGGAAAGCATGTGAGCTGGGCATGACCACAAAAGTACTCTGCTCACCTGCACTTCCCAGAAACTGGTATTCAGAAGATTACTGCTTCTAACAATGAAAGTAGGACATAGCCATTGTGACTATTAGCCATTGATAGCCTTATCCTCCATGAATTTGTTTAATCTTCTTTTAAAGTTGATGTAGTCCAACAGATGGAGCTATATACTGAATCAGACCATTTTTGTCTATTCCCATGGCTAATGATTCTCTAGGGCCTCTAGCAGAGGACTTTCCCAGCATGGCTGCCTGAGATCTTTTTAACCAGAATGATTAAAGACTGAAGTGTCAACCTCCTATTTTTGCAAACCATGTGCTCTTCCACTGAGCTGCGAGTTTACATTAACAGAAGCTAGTCTAGCGTCAGGCAAATGCTTCATATTGCCAGTGCATGAAAAACAAAGACAGCACTGTAAATTCATCTAAGAGAGTTTTGAACAGTTGTTTTCAATTGTTTTCATAGAATTGGAAGGGTCCCTGAGGATCATCTAGTCCAACCCCCTGCAATTCAGGAATATGCAGCTGTCCCATACAGGAATCGAACCTGTAACCTTGGCATTATCAGCACCACCCTCTAACCATCCGAGCTATTATATTCTTGTCAGTGCTGTGCAGCTTGTGTTGATTCCAGTGAAATCAGTGTTTTAACAGTGTAGCAATTGTTTCATATTCTATTTAATGGAATAATGTTACTGTAGTGGCTGGGGAAACCCAGCCAGATGGGCAGGGTATAAATAATAAATTATTATTACTACTACTATAATTATTATTATTACATAGATATGATGCGATTGTTTGACTCTGGAAATGAAACTGCATGATATGCTGTCAGTTACACAGAGTTAGTACTGACTTCTTTATACAGTGGTACCTCGGTTTACTAACTTAATCCATTCCGGAAGTCCGTTCTTAAACCAAAGCCGTTCTTAAACTGAGGTGCGCTTTACCTTATGAGGCCTCCTGCCGCCGGTGCCCTTCCACCATTCGGCTTCCATTCTTAGACCGAGGTAAAGTTTGCTAACCGGAACACTACTTCAGGTTTTGCAGAGTTTGTATACCAAATAGTTCATAAACAGGGCTGTTCTTAAACCAAGGTACCACTGCATAATACTATTTCTACTGTCATGATTATTCTCGTCTTGATAAAAGCAATGTGAGCTTATACATTAAAAAATTATAAGAATCAGGATGTTAAAATGCTAGATAGTGGGAGGATTCTATCAAAAATAGGACATTGATCTTCAACTTGTGGGAAAGGCCCTGGCCAATGTGTAGCACCGCTGCTTTTTCTTAGAGGAGAAACAGACATTCAAAGGAAAGCATTTGGGTTACCTCTTTAATGGAAATCAGCGCAGCTGAAAAGCACTTAATCTTTTGTGGCCTAATTATTGTCTGTGGTGGAAATTAATTATTTACTTCAACAAAAATGGTGCAAGTACTAAACTTCGCATACCGTATACAGTAGTGTAGCATACAAATGTAGAAGAAAAATAATCTTTAAAATGTTCTATAATCCATAAAATATTTTCATTATATTTCAGTAATCTCAACCCAGGAAAACATCCAAATGAAAACGGAGTGTCTATGCAGAATGATAATTTTGAGGAGGTCATCAGCTTGCCCATGGGAACAAAACCATCCAGGCTGGATGCTATGAACAATGATGATAAAAATAGCCCTGACATTTCTTTGACTCCCATTTTGGCCTTTGAAGAGGAGGGGACCCTAGGGCCATTGCCTCAGGTAGATAACGTTCAAACACATCAAACAGCAGGTAGGTTTGTTTTAAATCTCTTGTTGATTTTCTAATGGGCATGAGGTGTGGCATCCGAGATGTTTCTAGCAAGTGTCTGGATTCAATTTTTTATTAAGTGCAAGTTCAGGACATGGAACAAATTGTACAACCTCTGCTTTAAAAACGTTTGTCATGTTGCAGCCCAGTTGGAAAGATAGAAATAACTAGGAACCTGCTGGTTCGATTCACTGGGCCAATCTAAGATTGGAATGAATTATTCACCGCAAAGAGAAAGAGCATATACCTCATCCTTTCTCCACCCAAATGTGTGTTCTTTAAGAAACCGGCTGTTTTGATATAAGGGTGAGGCAAGATGACAAGATGCAAAGGGCAGGGTTCTTATAACTTTAGCAGACGTACAGGAATAGAAATGTCAACCAGTGCAGCTCTTTTTACCCCTTCACGACAAGATGCATCTGTAAGATCACCCTCCGCTACTCAGCAATTCTATTCTCTTTTGCATCTGATCACCATACGAAGCAACTAAGTCCTTGATTAACATTTTCTGTCTGTGACTTGGAACTTGAGCTTCTCTTCCATGGAGGGGAGGGCTCCCTCCATTGATTGAAGGAACTCTGACCCAATGGAGGCTCTGCTAACGATCCACTGATTTCTCCCTTCAGCCTCCCACCCTCATATCTCCTACACTGTTCCAGAAAGTCCCTCAACTCTATCAAACATATTTGCAGGTGGCACAGGGTGGGTGAAAGGGAGAATCGGTGAAAATCACCTCTTCTCTCCTTCTACCCACAAAAGTAGCCAGCATGTTTTTATTATAATAAAAGTACTCTTTTTTGCTGTTTGTTCCCTATAAAGAACTTTCCTTCTCTGCTAATTTGCTCTTTATTGGCTTTTCTTCTAGAAGTTGTCTGATCTCTGCTTACAAATTACCAAAGGTGGCATAAAAGTCTCTGCAGCCAGTGGAGTTCCTTCCATGCTATGAAGGAGTGTGGTAGTTTTTGCACTCTCGAGTTTTCTAAAGATTTCTTGGACACTGTTTTTTTGTTTTTTTTTAAGGCCATAGTAAAACCAGCAGAAGAATTTATTGGGAATAGACTTGGATTACCTTTCTATCAAATAGATCTCACCACTAGGAAAAATCATGTTTCATGTGCATAAATTGCTTATATCCAGCAAGTTCCTTTGGTTAGCATAACAGATATTTTCTGCATTCTTGAAGACAAAAGCTTCACTGGATTCTAACAATAACGGGCTGATTGGGGTAATGGACTTGTTTTCTGTTGTTTTTGAAGATGGGTATTTGGTTTTAAAAGGTATGTAAAATCAGCAAAGTATCTTTTACATTTTACGGATTGAATACTTGAAAAGTAAATGCCTCACTGCTCTACAAGTAGGGCTACTGGGGTGTTTTTTTATTTAAGCCTTTTGGTTTAAATATTATTGCAGAGAACTCTTAATTATGGGGGCAACATAGAGGCTTCTGTATCAGGTTCTTGTAAATGTAACTCCTACATGGACATTCTGTATATTTAGGCATCACTACTGTCTTCTTGCATTTTCTTCTAAAAAATAAAATAACATAGCAGGTTTTAAAATGTGAAAAATCGAAAGCATTATTTTTTCATGGATGAAATGGAAAACCTGTTGTTATCCTAGATAATGTATTTATTAATTTTGTTCTGTACAAAATAAATCATAGAAAATGTGCTTAAAAACTACATTGTAAACTTGATTTTTCCTAGTTTCCCTTCTGTAAGGGAATGCAGGGGATAAAAGCAAAATCTTCTGGCATGATGTGGGTCATTCAGCCCCATACTTGGATAGTAATGGGGAGTGGAGAGCTCTCTCTAGCTGATGATATGATTGATGCAGGAGACTCCTACACACCCAGACCAGATCTTTCTCTCAAGGTGTTTTGGAAATGCAAACCTCTGTGTGTGGTCAACAAGTACTGCAATAGAAAATAATTTGGAAGGCTCCAGTCCTTTCTGTTGAGGTTCTGGCAGGGACAGCAGGTCTTGGGCTGCCTGTAGCCTGATTGACTTAGACTGAGCAACCCTGGTTAGGATTGTTTCAGCGTACAAGTGCTGCAGGCTACTCAGGTAAAAGTTGTATGTTCAACAGGAAGCTCTCATATCCTGTGATTCCATGTGCTGCCCCTGACATTTCCCCCCTCTGATTTTGCACCTCCCACTGCTATGCTCAGACCTGTAAAAACACTGCCTACCTTTCAGTTTGGTCTTTTGCTTTTATATCAAACTTGCTATAAGTGGATATCGCTAAAGTGATACGTTGCACTTTAAAGTGCTGGATGATGTGCCAGTTCAAGTCAAAAGGAGTGCTGGGTGTTAGTGTGTGATTGGGCAGTTAGTGTGTAGCGGGAAATCAGTCTCCAAGGGGATGCTGTCATAAAGAGAAGTGATTTGCAATGCACTTGAATTCATGTAATTTATTGGGTGCATGCTGTGTCAAAGAAAATTATGCCAACTGTGTTGGGAATTATGTGAGACGATGCTGCTTTGTGGGCTAGAGTAAATTGGAGGAGAGGAACAAAAGCCAGTCTGGACTTTTTAGTAATTGTGGTATAGCAAAAACAAAATATTTTTATGTTGTTCTCTATGCTCCCTGTACATAGCTATTATTATTTTTTTAAATGCCCAAAATATGTAGTTTTTGCTTCTATATAGGATATAAGTATCAAGTAAACTTCATAGAAAACATGTGCACTTTTAATATTTACTTGTTGGTGCACTGGTTGCTGTTGAACAAATATAATGTGTCTATTTGGGGAGCTGAATAGAGGAAATTTCATCTTAGCTCTTTTGTGTTCGAGTTGGAGATGGGTTTCAGATGATGCACTTTAGGTTAATACAAAACTGTAGTGTTCCTGTTTCCTGTATAGAGGCCAGTACATAGTTTTTAAACCCTTTTTATTTTTCAGCAGAAGGCTGAGCGAAAATAGCCACCAGTGTCATCCTGACTCCTGTGTGCACAGTGGAACTCCAGAACAGACAGGCTTTCCCATTCATGTCAATGGAGGGGCAGGGTCTGAATGTGCTTTCCGTTTGTGAACACATCTCTCCTCTCTGATAGATAACAGGGGAAGCCCTTATAGGCAGAAGAGCTCTGTGTTGGCTGTGGAAGCCTTTGTGCGTGCAAGTTAAGAAGCTATTGCTGTATCGGGGCATTTGCACTTTTTAAATATAGAGAGAAAATCAGTGTGCTCAGGTGTTGAATTGTAGCCATGTAGTTGGGCTACTAGTCACATGAAATAACATAAAAGCAACACTAGTCGAGCAATGTCACAATGGCCACCAGCTTTGATGGTTTTAAAAGGGGGTTAGACAAATGAATGGGGGACAAGGCTAAAAATGGCTACTAGCCATTGGTGTGGCTGAGTCCTACCTTCAGCATATGTATGCCTCTGAATACCAGTTGCTGGGAATCACAAGTCAGGGGAGTGTTGTTGTACTGAAGTCCTACTTATATGGTTGTGCTAAGGTTCTGCAAATGGTTAGTCAATTTGAGAACAGGATGCAGGACGAGATGGGCCTTTGCTGTGATCCAGCAAGCCTCTTATTGTGTTCCTAAGCACATTCAAAAGCAGTTAATCCAATATGACATTGACTTAAATCCAAGGGTTCTTTTCCTCCAATAAGAAGGACGACTTCTCTAGGAGGATCCAACCCAATTATTCTCAAATGTTACCACAATGAATATTACAAGAACATGGGAACTAAGGGAAAAAGTTTATTTCTTTTGACATGACTCCTCCTAAAGCAGAATAGTGGTCTCTGTTTATAGGATATCAAAATAGCAAATTAAACATTTTATGAATTGTTATTTGGGCACTGTAAAATTTACCTGCCCTTAATCAAGAGTGCCGTCATTCATAGCATGGTATCGTAAATGCCCTTGCCATCTGAACAGCAGCCATAATTCAACTTAACATCCATTTTCTGTTAAAAGTAGCACTCATGGGAACTTTTTAGAGGAAAATATTACAACATGGTTTCAAATTTACTGCTCAAAAGTTTTTCCAAATTATTGCAAATTTGTTCTGACGTCCATAGGTGTGTTCTATTCCAAAATGATGTTTATTAAACGAGGGATCAGTGTCAGGGACCCTGCATAACAACTTTTTGAAGTGTTTGAATTAAGGAAAGAGTTTTGATGGACAGCAGAAAGAGAATTGCAAACGGAGATAAATGGATGATACTTGTGTTTCTCACTTTAGGACATATCAAAATGAATGCTGGTGAAGTCCTCCTCATTTGCTAGTGGGGCAGTTATAAAAACTAGTGATCCAGGATTGTCTAGATGGTTCCTGCCAGGTATTTTTGGTGTGTGTGTGTATAGGGATAGGGTATCTACTGCTTTTCTAGAATTTGTCGCTCTTGGGTTAAAATCATCCAGGTTGTGTGTGTGTGTGTTGTTTTTTTTAAGCTGAAGGAATACTATTTTAATTAAATCCTGGAGAAAGCTAAACAGTTTTCTGAAATGTGCCAACAAATTCATGCTTTGGATAATGTGCTAAAATCCTCATGCTGAAAACTGAGGTCTCAAAAGCTGTAAAGTGTTCCACCACAACATATCCTTAGGCAATGAAAGAACTGATTGGTCATTCATGTATAAACATAGGCTGACTTGGTAGCATTATATAATGGTACCAGCTAGCATGATACATACTTTTCACACACATTTCTTTCTCAAAATGTAGATTTTAATAAAATATAATAAAATTTTACTTGAAAAGCTAAGATTTTATTATTTACAACTGGACATCTGGAAGGGGTGAAATTAGGGTTCAGGTATTCTGAAATGCGAGACTGCCATCAACTTGCAGATGAGTTTAAGGCCACCAGAAACACCTAGGCAGCATGAAGATATTTGCCTCGTGAAATGGATTGCATGCTGTCAGAGCTGAACCTAGAGCAAGATAGATTAGTCTACCAGTATAGGCTCTCACAGTTCATGAATGCCTCAACAAGGACAATGCAATGCTACAGTCTGTACATCTAAGGATAGTGAAAGTATCCTCAGGCCTGGCCCATCCATGTATCAAATAATGAGCTGCGTTGTATGAATCAGCCATCATGGATCAAATAGCACTAACAGACCTTTTATAAAACTTCAAGCACAGTGCTTTTTAGTAGAATCTGCCCACACATCCTACTGTGAGTCATCAAGCGTTGAATAATGGAGCAGTAATACATTCCTGTGTAAACTGGTCCCTAATTTCCACCCATATGGAAGTTAAAAGTCCTATTGTGCATGTGCTTGCTGTGGATTTGCCCACAGCCATGGCGTGAAGCTGAGACACCCACATTATGAGTCAGCTCCCTATACAGAGGCAACAAGCTAGCCACCCAGAGCGACATCACCTAGAGCAAAACGCATAGGGTGGAACAAGGCTTCAGGTGTCCATATGTCTGATAGCAATACTGAGAAGCTCCTGTGTTTCTGCAGTTTGTTGACGGACTTGGTCAAGGTGCTTCTTTAGTTGGCTCTGGTTGAATGCTGATGAAAATTCTGCATCTAAAAAATAGGGAAGCAACAACTCAACTTCTAGACCTGCACAACTCGTCATATGTGTACATCTTGCTCTGGTCCACAACTATACAAAACATTGGAGAGAGGGTTTGTTCTCCTGTCTTGCATTCAGCTTGGATCTACAAAAATCTGACATTCATATCAAAGCCAAATTGACCAACTTTGAGAACAGGAGTTATCTATTACTCACCCCTAATATAGTCCTTGTTGTTTTATTACTTTCCAAGAGTAAGTTAGATGCATCCTTTGATCGTTTACTTGTTCAACAATGTCTCCTGAGAATCTTGCCTCCTGCTTTCTTTGCTAGGGGTATTTCCCCACTTTCAGACACAGAGTGTGATGATAATCTAAGCCATTTATCAAACATTTATGCATGGAAGTTATTTTGCATTCCATGTTAACAGATACATTTTTTTACAAAAGTAAGTCAGGTTTGTTTGGTGCTGGAAGGTGCATGCATAACTACTTTTCCACTGTGATTCTTTAAAAATGCCAAAAAAGAAGACTGCTCCCCACTTTTTTATGAGAACCGTAAATAGCTGTTTCCAGGATTCATATATGCGATTATGAGAACAGATTCAGTTCCAGTAGGAAGCTTGTAATGAATACGGCAAATGAGCCTGTATAAAGTTCTGATTGCATTCTCAGTGAAATGAGAGTCAATTAACTTTCCACCAAACCTTTTTTAAAGGAGGACTTTGGTTTTCATTACCAGAAACAGGCAGGACTCAGCTGCGCATTATAGCTGCGGTGCTTCTGGTAAGTACTGATGAGCTTAGCTGTTATGCCATAGCATAGGAATCCCATGGGACGTTATGTGGCGAGTGATACAGCAGTCCATACCTTTCTGTAATATGCAGAGAGTGGATATGCCCAGATGCTGAAAGCGATTCTCTTGGTGAATAAGATACTTGATGAGGTATTGCTGTACCTTGCTCATATGAGATTTCAACAAAGACACCATCTCTTCTGTGCAATTAATTTGGAGACAGGAATAATTACAAAACTGAATGCATGAGGCAACATTTTACACACTTAACCTGGGAGTAAGTCACTGAACAAAGTGGGATTTCTTCTGAGTAAACATGCACTGTAAAATGTTGATACCCCATTACATTGCTGATGCACTACTTGGTTTTCTTGTTACTAAGTTGTTGGGTGAATGACAAATTATAAATTGGTATCCATAATTTGGGAATGCTTATGATAATTTTATGGTGGGAAATGTATGCTTGGGCAGTTGTTTAGTGTGATCATTTTTATTGTGTTTTTTATATTTGTTTACTATGTAATTTGCCTTGAGACCTTAATAAATAAAGATTTTATAATGCTAATTAATAATATTCAGAATTCATATATACCAATCATGAATGCCAGTATGGCATGGAGAATAGAGCCTTAAACTTCAGGTTTGGTTCATAAAGTTGAAGTTTGTAACTTGGAATGATAAGATTTCTTGATGATTTTGGCTGCTATAATAATAATAATAATAATAATAATAATAATATACACTCACTGTGATTATTCTGAATCTGACACTTACAACAGCTGTTATTTTTTAATGTTATATTGTGCATTCAACAGAGACATCAAGTTTATGTTATCACTGGTTATTCAAATTAAGCATCACTTCATATGGTGCACAGTGATGTACAAATATTTTAGCGGCTTTGTGCAGTGTTGCTATCTTCAACAGGGAAATGTAATACTGAGAAAAGGATGTACACATGGAAGACAGAAGCTCCTGTCATGAACTCAACATGTATTCTTTACGCCCAAAGGAGTCTGCTGGTGTGGGACAACTGATAGATGCAGCTGCCACTTAGTCCAGAAAAAAAAAAAAACCATCTTAGGGAGTCCTATTGTAGCCCAGGGAACTCTCTGAAAACTATCCTAGAATTAGCAGGATTGGAAAATAAATAAAAGTTTTGTCAAAGCTGACCAGTACAGTGTACTCCCCTGCTATTCAACCTGTTTGGGCCCATGGGACTTCTGTTGTTGTCACTTGAGTGATATCAGGCATGCTGGAAATGCAAACATCAGATCTTTTACATTGATACGTACTGTGCTGTAGGAGGTGTTTGATCACAAGGGCAGCGTGGAACGAAAGCTCTGCTTGTTCCACTTGGCCAGCCAGTGTCGCCAGACTGCATACCACGGAGTCATCCACCAATTCCAGCATGCGCACTGTGGCTCCCTCTGGTGGTAGAAGAGCAGTGTAAAAGACTAAATCAGCAGAGTTGAAATAAAAGGAGACAAATGAACAGGCCTAGGGCCAAGGCTGAAAAGACACTAGCAGAGCTTGGGAGGCCAGTAAAATGGATTTCAGAAGACTGAAATACATACATGGAGGGGGGGGGGTTAAAATGTTCAGAAGCAGATATAGGTGGGAAGATTCCTTAGGGAGGGTTTCACTGATGGGAAATTTGATGCTCTGCTGCTCTGCTACCTCCCTTTCCATACATTCAGCTAGTAAACACCCAGAGGGTACCATGTTTGCCTCTGCTGGTCTAGAAGCACTGGAGAAATTACTAGCAATGTCAACACTAAGTTACCGATACAACTCTGAGTTGGGATTAAAATCACTTGTCTGCTGTGTTTCACTCCTATTAGCAGCTCTGGTAGCTATGCAGCCAGTGGGATAACGTAGAACTGACTGTGGGAATCTGTTGATTTTTACGACTGCCCTTTGGTTCCCTCTGTGCTCCAAAATTGTAAGGTTGCTGCAACCCTATGCACACTGACTTTTGCATAGGTAAAGGCTACAGCACTTCCTTCTGAGCAGACATGCATAACACTGTGCTGTAAAGTTGGCAGCAGCAGCGGAAATCAATGAGTACAAAATGTGTGTGCTCTCAGCCCATCCACTCAGCACTCTGAATGCCCCCTTACCATGTTTCATCAGGTCAACAAGAGAAGACATCACACAGTGAAGAGATTCCTCTTCTAGAAAGTCTACACTCTGGACAGCTTGAAAAAGTCCTTCAATGCATGGACTTTCTATGACTCTCTGCAAATAACAAAAGTAGATGATGTTGTTACATTCATTCTGAAAATTGTGGTGTCCCCCCCCCACCCGCAATTATAGATGCCAAGCTCTTAGTTTGCCTTGGGCCTTCAGGGCTGTGCCTATTCAAGTGTTAAGCCCAGAAATGTGTGCAACAAAGGCATCTGTGGGGATTTAATCTATGCAAATGCATGTTCTATTAAATGCCCTAGTTATGCATCATGACGCCCTGAGACTGTCCCACCAGGAGAGTTCAAATTACATGGATGTGCTTGAAATTAATGAATACAGAGTAAGTCTGCAATGATATGTGTTACAATAGCCTTCATTTCACAAGAAGCCATCAAGTGTGTGATAACAAGGCAATCTGGGAGATGGTATGAGGAGCCAAGAATATATGGCATATTTCCTGCAAACATTTATCCATACACAGTGGGTTTCCACTTTCTTGAGCAATTATCATCTAAGGCCCTTCTTTGTGTGCCTCCTCCATGAGAGGTCTGGAGGATGGCAACATGAGAATGGGCCTTTTCTGCAGTTGCTCCCTGTTTGTGGAATGCTCCCCCCGGGGAGGCTTCCCTGGTGCCTTCATTATATATCCTTAGGTGCCAGGCAAAAATGTTTCTCTATAACCAGGCCTTTGGTTGGTTGAGAATTCTATGGCCTTTTAAATGTGTTTGTGGGAAGGGGTGTTATTGGTTGGTTTTTGGTTTTGTTTTATTATGTATTTTGTGTTCTCATTTTCTACTTTTATGTTGTGAACTGCCCTATGGTCTTCAAATGGAGAACAGTATACAAATTTAATGAAGGAGGAGGAGGAGGAGGAGGAACAGGAACAACCTAGTTGAAAAAGCATGTATACCAACAAAGCCAAATTTCCAAAAAGCCTACAATGAAGGAGTAAAAGTCACAACTTGCTTTTTATTTGTTGGTAAGATTTTTCTTGTGTACTTTTTGAAACACGTGGTCATTTACTCCCTTGAATGAAGCAAAGACGATGTTTCATTTTAATTATAAGGTTACCAGATGTCCCTGTTTCCCGGGGACAGTCCCCAGATTTACAAATCAGTCCCCATACAAAATCCATTGAAGTTGAAAAGTGTCCCCAGATTTATTGGGGAAAAAATCTGGTAACCTTCTTTTAATATCACTTAGTAAGAGAAACAGTGAAGTGAAGCCTTCAGAGCAATGTGTAATCCTGAAAGGGAGACTTGGCACTCACCTCTATGCTTCTGGAAAGGCTGAGATTTTTAATAAAGCAGGCAGCGTGACCTACAATCACTGGGTCCATTTTCCAGGCGAGCAGCAGGTTCCCTACCGCCTGCAGCACTTCATCACACATCAGTGCATCCTGCAAAGGGAAAGGTAGCCAGTGAGTAGCTGAAATGAAGGCAGCAGAAGAGACATGGTTCTACCATACCACTGTGAATGGGACTAGAGGTGGGTGATTGAGATATAGATATATAGATATATATCACTTGATTGTTAATAAAAAGCTCAAAGCGGGTAAAAAAAGAATAAAAACAATAAAATTATCAGTAAAAAAACCCCCAATTAAAACTAGTATTTAAAACATTAAAAAAATTAAAAATCAGCAATAAACTAAAACCAGAAAACACATGCCAATATTCTGCATGTCCAGACAGGCCTTTTGAAACAAACATGCTTTTTTTTTTTAAGCAGGCACCAAAAAGAGTAGAGTGAATGAATTACTAAGGAATCAAAGAGATATGCTTTTAAGTTTTTAAAACTCTTTACATTTAGGATGAACTGCAACAAGTGTATTGCAATTTGGGAGCTACAATTATGAAGAACTATGAAAAGCTCCACAAATTGTCTCTTCGTGTTTCAGTCCCAACTCACGGCAGCAATGCAGAGAAATCGAGCCTCCACTACCTCCAAACCACATCAGATGATACTGAAATGTGTGTGTGCATCCAATGGCACATGCAGGATTTGACTTTCCTGTTCCACCACAAACCTCCCATGTTACAACCTCCATTCGTTTTATTGATGCCTGTGTCCCACCATATTGAGACTTGTATGTCACTCCCACATCCGAATGCATTTTTGCAGGCATGTTTACATTATGAAGATGTGGGGCTTTTCCGTTTGTTAAGGAATGAAGGTGCTATGAAGTCAACCAAACCCAAAGTCACCAAAGAACAAATGATTTCTTCTTCCCTAGGAACACAGTGTAGTGTTGGTAACCACTGAAACATTAGTTCATCTTGGTTGGAAATGTTAGCTTTGTCCCACAGTTTGTTTTCCTGCTGGGGTTCCCATGGAGAGCTCCTTTTCTACTTCACTTGGAATTCAGGTCAGAGCAGAATGGGAATCCTTGAAAAGGTCTTTAAAAAAACAACCCCAGGCTGGAGGGCATTGAAACAAGTAGTCTGAGCAAACCAAGATGAAAAGCTGACCCAACAGAAGACAATATAAACATCTCTACTGAGGATTAATTGTTCAGTTTTCCTCTGTCACAGAACATTTTCTCCAATGCCAAAGCAGCTATACCATCCATCACAACCACAAATGGATATTTGCTACAGAATGTGAATCTCGAGAAGACAGATTAGAACCCAATATGATTATAATCAGAATTTGTTCCCAGCGCTCCCTTTCCAACCTTATTTCTGGATATGCACATCATCCCACACTTTCTAATGCATGCTGAAGCCTTTTCAGAATGAATTTTGAATTATTGTCTACTGATCACCTGGCCGCGTCAAACTGTCATTTTAAATGTGTTACCTTTGATGAAACTTTTGTCCACTGTCGTCTTTCAAGGTTGAGCTGCCTCGGAACATTATGGCCATGCACATTTGACTAAAGCTTACAAGGCAAAGGGTAATATAAAACAGAAATGTGTACCTGGTTGTCTGGGTGCTGGAATAAAATCCGGAGAAGAATGATGGAATTGTGCTGAGTGTCTTTCTTGTTAGATGCCAGGAGAGGGAGCAGGCGAGACGGGATCTGCAAAGCAACGATGCTGGTCTGACCACTCTCTGTTTGGAAAATGAGAAGGTTGTTCAAGGTCATGTGTGCAGATCAATAGAAGCTGCTTTGGAGAAAAGGATTTGTGAGAGAAAGGGGCCTCCTCTAGACTGACTCAATCAAGTCACCTGGACTTCACAGATCAGGCAATGTTATGTTATGACAGTATAGAAGTTAAACTTTAGGTTCTGATTTTAATGAAAAGTCAAAAGAAGATGAAGACCAAACTGCACAAGAGGGTTGGACCTGTGTTCTGGCCAATGGCATAAAAGAAAGGGAGAAAGACAGACCAATAGGATGTTTGAGCAATGCAAAATGTTTGTAGAAAGGCACTGCTGGAAAGAATTCACTTCAGAATCAGGGGACTGAAATTGATAGAAAGGGTACAGAGAGTTGTGTTTCTGTAACTTTGGTTGGGATTGTGGTTGTTCAAAATCAGCTGCTAGGCGCAAGTGATTGACTGCAGCCTCTGGATTAGATAACCACTGGATTAGATCTCTTTCTCACACACACACACAAAAAACCAACCAGTGCTTTTTTCGGGGGGGGTGTATAGGGGTACTCTCATTTTCCTATTCATAGGAATACTATTGAAATATTGCCCCTCAATGAGGCCAAACTTAGATTCACAAAATGTTTAGGGGTATGCATACCCCTGCTGCCCCCCAGAAAAAGCTGTGTGTGTGTGTGTGTGTGTGTGTCCATATTCTTGTCTACTTTTTCCACACAGAATCGACAGTTTAAAAATGGTAAAAGGAAGTGTATGGATTTGTAGTTATAATCCATATTAATGATCTTGCTTGTCAATTTGAAACACAGAGACACATCTTTCATTACAAGCACATGAGCAAAAATCTCAGTGGCCAGGGATATTTTTCACCAACTCCTTCAGTCTCTTTTCTCCTTTTATAGATGGTGTAAAACTTCCACATGATCTCTCCCCCGCCCCGAACATCTGTGGCAGAAATGTGCCTTGAGCATTGTAAGGTATTGGTCAATCAAGTTTTACTAATCTTTACATCAGTCTGAATGCTGGATTGGTTTGCAGTTACCTTCTCTAAAAAACTGAATCCGTGTTTGTTGGTATACTTTAGAACAACAGTACTGTCACTCTCACAGCCTCTGGTAACTGAAGGGTTTATTAACTTTCAAAAAAAAAAAAAAAGTCACACCATCCACGTGCCTGAAACCAAAACATGGTATTCGTCTTACTTAAAAGAACAAAGAGTGACTTGAGGACATTCCTTCCAGAGGCTAGACTGTACAAAACACAGGAAGGAGGGGGTTCTATTTTTGTATCTTTTAAGTGACTGCAATTTTTCATTTATTAGCATGCTAGGACTGTAGTACTTACCACTCACGGCTAAATTCCTGAGACAGACACAAGCCTGGTTGGAAACCTAGTTGCAGAAAACAAAGAAATCAGAACACAATAGAGAAACAACTTTTGGCTGTGAAAAGGCTGCAAAGCTGACTGGTCCACAACAGCTTCATGCAAAACTTGCTAAACCTCCAAAATGTTCTGACAGGATTACCGTATTTTTCGCTCTATAACACGCACCAGACCATAACACGCACGTAGTTTTTAGAGGAGGAAAACAAGAAAAAAAATATTCTAAATGAAATAGTGGATATATGATTTTTGTGGTTCATGCTGTGGCCACAGACATGTGATCTGACAGTGAGTTTGGAGTAGCCCAATGCAAAAATCCTGAGGATCCATGTGGATCCATGCTTTGTAACCACGGAGGAGGGAAGGAAGGGGAACCATGGATCCTCTGCTCACGATTGCAGCAGATCCCCCCCTCCGCCACCCGCAGGCATTCGCTCCATAACACGCACAGACATTTCCCCTTACTTTCTAGGAGGAAAAAAGTGAGTGTTATGGTGCAAAAAATACGGTATGTGTCAATGATGGGTAAAGTTAAAATGTAAGCATGTCCTCTGTGGCAACATGAGGCAAAACTAAGCCTTTAAAGCCAACTGTGAAAGTGCCCCATAGATATCTGAGAGATACTCAAAAAAGCGCCACTTATGGGTGCCTAATAGTACAAGGATGTGTAGCCTTTCAGAAGAACAAATTGCTCTTGATTTAAGGTGCATACACACCATGCATTTAAAACATATTTAAAACACATGACAATCCCCCCAAAAAGAAAAGAATAATGGAGCTGTAGTTTAACAGTGCTACAAATTGAAGCTCTGTGAGGGGTAAAGTACAGTGCTCAGGATACTCTGAGGGAAGTCATGTGCTTTAAATGCATGGTGTGTATGCAGCCTTAGTGAACAATCCAGTTAATTTTGCATTTGTTTGGGAAGATCTGTAATTGTGAAATTTTACTCCTCACACTACCTCACAATCTTCCCCAGGCAGAGATTAGGAAAAAGCCCATCCCTATATTCCCAGGCCATCACTGTGAGAATGAAAACATTGAACCAAGAGATCTCACCATTATTTAAACATGGAATCCCCTCTGACTGTAGGAGATTCTGAGTTTGATCTCTTAGAAATTCATGGAAGATGCCACATCTAGCTAACTCCAGCCTTTGTGTATTCTTGCGCCCCCATGCTGAAGAAAGCATCTTTTCAGTCATTTCCCTGAACACAAGATATTTAGCCTGCAGTACTAAGCATACCTTACTTGGAAATACATCCCACTGGTATCAAAATAATATTTCTGAATAAACCAGGGGGGCTGTTAGTAAAACAAACCTGCATAATCCACAGCTTTACCTTGTCCACAGATGAAGACAGAAGGAAAAGGAGCATCCGCAGAAGAAACCTATCACCGGTTTGGAGCATGGCTTTATGGTGCTGCGAGTTTGTGGCCATGTTGCTCAGAGCTGCACAGCTATAATACTGTAAGAAAGAGAAGTGGTGTGATTTTGAGAAAGGAAAGCTTGTGGCCAAGGGTTCTTAAACTGTGGTCAAGACCTCACAGCAAATGAAAGGGACCATGAGTGATGATGGCGTTCCTAGGGTGATCAAATTGCTGCTGCTGAAAAATAACCAGGATCTCAGGGTTTCCCCTCCTGTCTCTGGCGACTCTGCAAACAGGAACTGGGTAATTTGCTGGGGAGCGAGGTCTGAAGTCATGCTAAAGTAAACTTTCATGTTTATTTGCCACAGATTTTTAAGGGAATCCATACATTCTTATGAAATGCATATGTGTGTATGTATGTGTGTGTGTGTGTGTGTGTGTGTGTGTGTGTGAGAGAGAGAGAGAGAGATGAAGCTGGAGAGAGTCCAGAAAGATACAGTAAACTTTGGGGGATGTTGGCTGAGAGAGTATTTGCATACAGCATCTCCCTGCATTTTCTGGATTGGCACTGTAGTACATCTCCAGGAGTTTTGGGAATGTCCCAGGAAAAAAGAATATTTGCCCAACGAGACACAACTGTGATCGCTACAGTCCACACAGACTGTGCTGGTCCTACACTAGACCCTGCCACCTGTGCCAACCAGCATGTATTGAAATGACCCTTGGATTCCTTTCCAACTTTATAATTCTATGGGTCTATGAAATACTCTATTTGTCTATATGATTAGAAAATTATCATTGTGTAGAGAGTCTGGATGTCTAAGAGTCAAAAAAGGGGGACAATACTGCAACGGTGAGGTGACCAGATCCTTTTTCTTAACAAATCACTCACACACTATTTTGTCCCCTTCTGCTAGGCGTACTGCATAGATTCTGCCAGGCAAATGGCATTCCTTGCAATCATAGAATGCTCATCATGAGGCTGTTTACAATTCTCAGGAGTCATAGTAAGAACAGAATAAAAATCTACACTCCAGTCATGTATTCACATGTTTGCATTTCTCTTGCACTAGCCTATTTGAAGATGAGAAAGAAGTATTTGTTCAGTTCTTGAATCTCAAACAGGTTAGAGCCTATTAATAGCTATTTCCAAACAAAAGTTGAGAACAGAACTGAGGAACCGGAATACCCCCTGGCTATTTTCTTTAACCCTACAACAAATCTGAACTATGAAACGAGCACCTTTCTTCAAGCTGCAATGACCTGTTTCTTCATTTCACTAAAGAGGTTAGCAGTTCATTTCCAAGGTGCACAAACATATGTAGCACCCCCCTCCAAGCAAAAGTATGTGCAACACCATTGAATTACTAATTTCTGGAAGTTAAAATGTTAAAAGACTACTGTCTCGTCTATCTTTTCCTGTGTCTGTAGGTTCAGTTGAGCAGCTGGCTATTTCCACAGCTTTGAATGCTCAAAAACTTCTGTTTTAATGTCAAGTTTACCTGTACTTCCGAGTCGGAAGACTGTAACAAAAGGGTGAGGACTGGAAGAGCACCTTGTCGAAACAAAATTTGCTGAATCCGTTCTGCAAGGGAAGAGTGGTATTGCTAATGAGCTATTTTGACCAAATGAACATGCTCTTTATCATCACTGCATAGATAAGAGCCAAAAATAGCATTTTCTGGGAATAAGCCCAATTGGAATCAACTGGCTTTCCCGCTGAGTAGACATGATTTAGCATTGTACTTGAAGTAAAACATTTCATTTTAAAGAAAACAATAGCTTTGACGATAAGTTTCCCTTGCCACAAATTTCTGTGTCAGTGCACTTGGCCCATTGAAATAAATCCCCTGCAGCCTAATACCTGATTGTGTGAGATTGAAAATTGCTCCAACTGCATTTTGTTGGACTCTTGGATCGTAGGATTTAGAAAGGGCCAGTAAGGGTACCACGCCTCCTGCTGCTGCGATGGCTTCATGGCTGACATCTGGCAAAACAACAGGGCAAAATAGAAATCAACGAGGTTTCTTTGGAGGAAGAAGTATCCATGCTCCTCCAGCCACACTTTAAAGAACAGAGAGTGGACAGCACAAAACAGTTGCAGCATATGAGTTGGGGGTCCTGGGTGCCTAGTGGCAGAATGAATAATGTTAAGAGTTTACCATCAGGTTTTTGTGAAGATGCTTATTGCTATGGGTCACCTTGAAGCAAAACCTGACTTTAGAAAGTACACGTCATCATTTATTAAGATTTGAACCCAGGACTCCAAGGCCAACTTTATATTCATTGCACAGTATGGGGCCAGTGACTAGGCAGTTCTTAGGCAATCCTGGAGTACTGCACTGGCTCCACTTGTGTGTCTGTGAAGCACCAAGCGTGTCACCACCCAGAGCCCTCCAGGTAAGCTGCAGTCAAACTGGTGTCAGAAGTGTGCCTCCACAAGCTCTGCCCCACTACACTGACCACGACTAGTTACAGCATACCAATGTGAATAATCCACTCTGCTCACGGAATTCAGCTCTTCTTGATTCAGAATTTCTATAACGATAAGGCACATCATTACCTCTCAATCACAAGGTGTGGATGTGACATTGTCCCTGGACCTGATTATTGCGCTATGCTTTGGACATGCTCCTCACCTGTGACAGCTAGTGTCATTATGCAGGCACAGGAATTACACTGGACTGTGGCATCTTCAGACTCAAGCAATTCCAGAATTGGCTCAATTAGATCCATTTGGACGACATGATCCTTGGTTACTGTTTGTCAGTAAAAGCAGGAGTAAATGTTATGTTTACAGTGCCTTTAATTCAGCTATATACTGGAGAGAGAAAAGGATTGCCATCAGCGCACAATATCACTAGTGCATCTTACACCGGAGTAAATGATTTCTCACCCCTTTTGTACGAGAAGTAAGCAAAACCCATCCTCTGAATGAATGCTCCCCCCCCCAAAAAAAACCCCACATTTTATCAGGGCAAACATCCATCCTACTGATTATCACTTTTTAGTATAGGAATTTATATCCTGCCCTTCAAATAAAATACCAGGGCAACTGGACAGTGGTAGTTCCTAAGATCACAGCTGATGCTGATGGAGACTTCAGGATATGGTATCTTGGGCATTTACTCACCATTTCCCTCCAGTAAGAAATTCACAAGGGACGACGATGAAATCTGCTGAACCTCCAAGTCATTAGACTTCAACAAAGCATAGTATATTTCCAGATGCTCTCGAGGCAGCTGGATGTTCACTGCAAGAATGAGATGAAATGCTGATTGCAAAAAGCTCTTCTGGAACACTTGTCCCTTACATCTTCAAACACTTGATGCTTTTGGAGCAACACCTAGATGGCCTACTTTGCCTTTCAAAATACCTTGTAGCCCTCCTTTCAGCTGTCTGTGCAAACTCACGTGAAAACTAAACCTGTATTACTTATTTTTACTAGACCCTCTTCTGCCAACCTCTCATATGAGTAAAAAGCCAGCTAGCACTCGCCCACCTCTATAAAATAATAAAATGGGAGACTAGTAACTACAAAAGTTGTGCCACATTATCTGGGCTCCAAATAAATATCCACAGAACTTGCATTAGAAGGGGCTAGACCCAATTCACACATGCTAGGGAACCAGTAAGACTGCCTTGGGCACAACTCAGCTACGTTTGGGAGAAATTGTTTTGCTTCTCCAGATTTTTTGCTTCTTACAAATTTTTTAAAAAGAGAGTATGGAATGGATCTTACAGTTTTGATGATTTATGTTCAAGTAATAGAGAGCAGCAGACTTTTGCAAGCCGGGGTTCTCTGAAAATGCCAAGGTCCTCAGAGCCTCTAGGGAGACCTTGCCAAGTGGTGACATTTCAAAACCTTAAGAAAGATGTGATAATAACAGAGTCTGAATTGTGTCAGAAGAAGTTAAATACCTGAAGAGTCCAAATGCACAGAATTTAAAGCAACAGATAAAACACGACAGAGACAAACTTCCATGTAGAAATATTCTCTTCTTTAAAATTAGCATACTAGATAGAGCTGAATTTTTGCAGTCCAAACCTCATGTGAGAAAAAAAGTTGTTATATATGCCAGTTTGTGAGAGTAGTTGGGACATTCCAAACTTGGATTTCTGTTACTGTATTTAGCAAACCAGCTTAGCCATGCTATTTCCTTGATTATCAAGGATGAAAACAAAAGATGGGAGCACTTAAGAGTTGGAAGAAGTGGACAGCATTCCATTTGATGTCTTTCTGTTTTCAAATAATAAATTCAACTCCAATCCTCTAATACCTAATAGGTTTTTACCGAGAGTATTTCAATGTTGGCTTAGGAAAGTGCTCGTGCTTGTAGCAAAAGTACAGTATGTGTTTGTTAGTCCTTTAAGATGCCACAATATTTCTTGTTGCTTTTATGCAAGAGGCTAACAGGTCTACCCCTTGCTATGATGCCTTTTGTAGAACTGGGATTTCAAATGCTGAATGAGAGTAATTTAATCAATCGGCCTGGAACTGGGATCCACTGCTTTGTCTGAATATTTGGTGCTGGTGAAATACTGGTTCCCCCATTCTCCCTTCATTGCTTATAAGAGCAGAAGCATAAACAGCTCTGTGTCATTCACTTTATACGATCACTGAACTTAAACAAAGCAACCGAGCTCAAGTAAACATCTCTCCAACTTTGGCTGCCCCACCTTCATAACAGAAACTTCTCACCTCTTTCAATGTGCTGCAGAAACTCCTGAGCAATCTCCTCTTCCTGGGTCTGAAGGGCAGGCTTGTATAGCTGCTTTGTTTTAAAGTTTTTCCGTTTCAGACAGGGGCACTCATGGATCTGACCCAAGCACTCCTGAATATCCTGCACCAGACCCGAAGACAGTGTTTTTACTGAGAGAGCCAAGTCACAAAGCAACTGGACACACTTTGTACACAGCTGACCCATGATTAACTTTCAGATCCAACAGAAAATCAGAAATGCAGACTGAGAGTTTGTACTGCCACTGTTGCTCCTGTGTTCCCTTGTACTGGCAGATTGCGATCTAGATAACTCAAAAAATAATTATCTCGACAAGTTGGGAGGGAAAGCTACTGCTGCTTTCTGTGTCCAAGCAGCATGGCTGAGCAAAATCTAACTGCTGTTCTCTCTTGCGAAGCATAAGAAATACTTTTAAAACTTTAGGCTGCAGCCGGTGGTGATCACCTTTCCTGTATCTTAGGAAGGAGAAAAATTAGGCGGTCAAACAAAAACAGTACATTCAGAATCCACCTCTGTTCTGTAGCAGAGAAATCATGTTTTGTATGCCAAGAATAAGGTCAACTGTTTTGGAAGGCTAGCAGCACCAGCCTCTGGGATAACAAACAAAAGTATGCTTGCATATTGTGGAGTGACATCATGGGTGAGGGCAGCATACCTGCTGGGCTCCACCTCTACAACTGAGCTGCCAATCAGAAAAGACAAAAAATAATAATAAACTAACAAGAAATTCCAGTTTCTACCAGACAGAAACAATAGTACTGTCTGGTTGGCCGGCCGGCCATAATGGCTTTGAATACTTCACGTAGGCAAAAGCAGAAGAATACACAAATGCATCCACAATCATTAATATTTAGTTTGCTATCCCTCCCACTCTGATGTCATCTGCAAATTTGATGAGCATACCCTCAATTCCTTCATCCAAGTTGCTTATAAGGACACCACAGGAGCCAACTCCTAGAGGCAAAACCCTGCAGCACCACACTTGCTACTTTTTTTCCAGGATGATGGGGAAACAATGGGTCTTAGTAATCACAGCATCATTTTCCTACTACCTACATCAAGTTGACCAGTTTGTAGTTACCGGGGGCGGGGCGGGGGAGGAAACATTTGCCCACCTCCAGTCTGCAGGGACCTAAACCTAACCTGTTCTCCAAGAATTCTCAGATTATAGACAGAGGCTTTGAGATTACACCCACTAGCTCCTTACCTTTAGTAGCCTTGGATGCAGCTCATCAGGCCCTGGAGATTTGAATTCATTTAAAGTAGCTTAGCTGTTTCTTTACCACCTCTTTTCTTATCTTAGTCTGTCCTGGCTTCTATTAAGCCAAATTTCATCCTTACTTCCTGGCCACTGCCTCCAATCATAGAATATTAGAATTGTAGAGTTGGAAGGAACTACAAGAATCATCTAGCCCAACCCCGTGCAATGCAGGAACCTTTTGCCAAACATTGGACTCAAACTCACAGCCCTGAGATTAAGAGTCTCATGTTCTACCGACTGAGCTATCACAATCAGTACATAAAATCCTACATAAAATAAATATAAATACCACATGGTGCAAAGATTCAATTTATTCCAAAGGCCTGAATGCATAAATGCCCTTCAAATGGCAACAAATTGACAATACTGAGGGGGGCGGTCATTTCAACAATGGGAGGTAGTTCCACAATTGTGGTGCTGTCACAGAGAAGGTCCTGCTCCACATATGGGCAACACCCATTGCCAGCATAGAAAGCAGGGATGTGCTTGATCGAAAACTTGGGTTGGGAAAGGCCGTCTGCCAAGCATTTAGACAATGAGATGCTCAGGGCTGCATACACATCAAAACCTTAAATTAGGGCTGGTTACATTTGCAGGGAATAGAAAAATGATAAAAAGCACCCTCCATCTCCACCCCCTCCTCTCATTCCCTCACTTAATCATATCCACCCTCTCAAATTCAGAGCCCAATGCAAAGAGCTGATTACCTTTAAAGCTGTTCATTGTTTGGGACCAAAGTATTTGAAAGAATGCCTCTATTTATTACTTTATTTTACTTTCTTTCAATTACTTCTCCCCTGGAAATGTATGATCTGAAGCACTTTTCTGGACAACACAGTGGTAGCAGAATAGCCAACTTTATTTTATTCCTTTAAGGTCAGCACTACCTTGACATGCAAAACATAAGCCAATGAAGATGGTCATCTGATACATTTAGGAGTAAGTCCACTGGATCACAGTGGGACTTACTTCTGAGTATACATATGGGTATAGCTGTGCCCTGAATAACTTGACCTAATAAATGTTTGCTTGTTAATCTGCTGGATCACAGGAATGGAACCAGTACAAAGAGTGGGGACACTGTGAGCCCTGGTTCTGCCTAGTGTTAACTATCCTGCCCCAGCTGTCAAGTCTCCCATCCCTAATCCCAGCTGTATATTCCCTCTACTTCCATTTTTATTCTATGCATTTGTTTTAAAACTTATACTAGTATTAGTAAATAATAATAATAATAATAATAATAATACTATACTGTACTATACTATACTTATTGCTTTTTTCTAAAACAATGTTTAGGAGTACTATCATTTTGACTCAAGAAAAATCACCATTTTATACTTCAAAATGGGAAAAATAAATACAGTAAATGGACAAATGGACAAAGGTTCAAAAAATGTTTAGGGGACCCCTGCAACCCCCCAGAAAAAAAACATACTATACTATACTATACTATACTATACTATACTATACTATACTATACTATACACTATACTAACCTAAATTGCTTATACTTATACTATTACTAAGTGATATATAATGATAGCAGCATGAGTGAAGAGTGCCACCTATTGATATGTTCTGTCCTTAGAGTCACAAAGTATACAATATGGCTTCTTTCCCTACCTATTCAATTTTGTAAAGACCCACAATGTACAAGTGATAGATGACAGAAGCTTCTTTATTTCTTTTGTAAATTGTTGCTTATAAGGTATTTACAAGAGGTGTGCTTTGGCTCTCTGTGAAGCCCAAATGACAATGTGAAATGAGGGATTTGGACAGTTTGTATGTGCCCAGGTCAGATTGTGCTGTTAATAAGGTGTCTCATGTTGAATCAGGGATACTCTAAAGTCCCAAGTCACTTTGTGGACTTAAGTGCTCATATATGGCAAAACCATGCCAGCTAGGCAAACACCATAACCTTGAGTGGGAAGGAATTGAGAGGTTGGGAGCATCTTTCATTTTGATGAATGGACAGGTCTAGGTTTTAATAACGGTGGATCATTTCCCCAGGACACTCCATTTGAAAACGGATAGGGTCAGTTAGCCAGTTTTAAAACATGGTACTATGAAATCGAAATGCTAAGTAATGATGGTTGGGATTGATGGGGATGGAACTGATGATGGCCGGGAAATGTGTGTGTAGTGGCTCAGTGTTGGCCCGAAAGGTACAGAAGATCACTGGATGGCAAGGAACAAGTTGCTGTCTCTCAGTCCAACCTACATTAAATGGATGTTGTGATGCTACAACGCTGTTCTAAAACAATAAGAAGAGTCTTGTGGCACCTTAAAGGTAAAGGGACCCCTGACCATTAGGTCCAGTCGTGGCCGACTCTGGGGTTGCGGCGCTCATCTCGCTTTATTGGCTGAGGGAGCCTATGTACAGCTTCCGGGTCATGTGGCCAGCATGACGAAGCTGCTTCTGGCGAACCAGAGCAGTGCACGGAAACACAGTTTACCTTCCCGCCGGAGCGGTGCCTATTTATCTACTTGCACTTTGACGTGCTTTCAAACTGCTAGGTTGGCACCTTACAGGGTAACAAATTAACTGTAGCATGAATTTGTTTTAAGATGCCACAGAACTATTCATTCTTTTTGCAGCAACGGACTCAAAAGACTGAAAAATGGCGTTCTATACTTTTCCCCAGGAAGGGCACAATAAGCTAAAAAGAGAAGTGCAAAGTAGGAGGCTGTACAGTATCCCGGATTTGGACCAAGGAACGCAGCTCAATGGCTGGTTTTAAGGCAGTTACACAATTTCCCTGCTAACCCTATGCACGAACATTTTCCTAAATGAGCAACATAATGAGAACCCGAAATTATCTGCCCTTATGTTTTCCCCAAAACTATGGTGTAATCCCGCAGCTATAGCAAAACTCTGAAGACTCGAGCAATCAACCCTATTTTTTACCCGTGATTTGTTGCGCAGACGGTAACTAACAAGAAAAAAAAAAAGCGCGACAGGCGCATGCGCCTCAGCAACATAGGCTTTTCCCTCTCCCTGCGTCCTTCCAACGCAAGGAAAGATCACGTGACGCCGAAGACTTCCTGCCAGGGCAGCTAGCGTCGCTCACGCCGCCTCAGCCGCTTCTTAACCGCCATCTTTCATACGGGTAGCTGGGGCCGCCAAGGTAAAGAGGTCATATTTCCTCTCCGCCCTTTCTCCGAGCGGAAGTGATGCCATCGTGCTATTCTAACGTCGCAGAAAGTGGTTTTCTCTCTCTATGGTTCTTCCTTCCTCTCTGTCTTTCTCCCCCGCCGCCCCCCATTTCTTTTCCTTCGCCGTGACTGGAAATGGCCGCCGAGCGGTAGAGAGCCGAACGGGAGCTGTCGCTCAGAGAAGGGTGAGCCATAGCCAACGCAGGACTTCGAACGGCCCGAGGAGGGCTGGAGCCAGAGCGGTCTTCTGCCTGCTCGGGTTCTTCCTCGGGCGCCATGGGTGCCCCTCCCTCCAAACGCGCCCCCCCCCGTCAGCTTTCGGAGCTCCGGCGCGAGAAGCCTCGTTCGCGCGCTCGGCAACCCTCCCTCCCCTGCTTCCAGACGCCGTTATTTTTTGAAAAATTCCCTCGAGTTCTTCCCTTCGCAACCCCCCCTCCCTTTTTCTAACTGAAGGCGGGGGAGGGGCTTGGTCTGCCTCACAAGGGCGGGAGGAACGGAGGGGGAGGGGGACTAGAGGCGGCTCCCATCTCCCTCACACACACACTGCGCGCAGCCTCCCTTGTTTGGACCAGGCCCGTCATCTCTCCCCGTTCCCTCCCGCCTCTTTCCCCCATGGGGCTGGGGGAGGAAACAGGTAGGCCGGAACGAGGCCGGCTGGGCGGGGCCAAAGAGAGCGGTCCGCCTCGCCCCTCGAGAGCAGGCGGGGGGGGGGCGTCGCTTTCTGATTAGTCTCTTCCGCGCGACGAGCGGCGCCTGATAACGTTTTGACTTGCCTCCATCTTTCGCCATCCCGACCAGTCGGTTGAAGGGCGACGAGGTGTAGCTAGGGGGAAGGAGAGAGACCTTGGCAAGCCTCCCGGCACACTCGCTACACCGAGGGCCCTAAATGGATGCCTCGAACACGCATGTCGTCATGCACGTGCCCTGCCAGACAGCTGCCCGTAACTGGCTGCGGCTCCCAGTTGAGCACCAGACCTTTTGTTGAGAAAGGCGAAAAGGTGTGCAGAATAGTCAGTGGATCGTGCCTTCTTCACACAGTGCCAGGACTCTGGGCAAGTCCGCACGATTAAACTTGCTTCCAAATGATGGTCAAGAGTTTCCAGGGAGGCCTTATCTTGGAGAAAGGGGGTGTATCCTTAAGAATTTCATTACCAACAGATACAAAAAATGACTTATCACAGTAATTTGCAGTATCTTTCGACTGCAGCAGTGTGTGGATATTGCCCCAGGCTCATGCAAATGTGTCCTCTGAGAGCAGCATCTGGAGGTAAAATTTACAGTGTGATCCAAGCCCTTTCAATTCATTTCATGTGATTGAACTTACCCAAGTCAAAGCAAGAAAAGAGTTGTTAATTATGACTCTTTCCCCCATTCTCCACAGTGAACTTGGTATAATTATTATTTGGCACTTGGGAAGCTGCCTTACACCAAGTCAGCTCATTAGTCTTGATAGTGGTGGTAGAATTTTCCAACATCAACAGAGGCTTATCAGAAAAAACAAGCTGGATCAGTAAACCATGCAAAATGCAGCAGGAACACTCCTTAGTGAATGGGTGTGTCATGCTTATTATTATTTTAAGCACTATAACTGCTGTACCAAACTAGCTCTCATTTATATATCCTGGGAGTGTGTGCTGGAGGGTGGCTCATAGCTTTTCTTTTTTAATGTTTTCTTTAATGAGATTTGCAAAGACAATAAACAAAAAACAACAACACATCAAGCTGAAAAAATATTGAGTACCTTCTTAGGACCTTGAGGGAAGACAGAAGGAAGAAGTTTAGACCAGGGAGCAGATTTCATCAGCTCCTGACAGAACCATCACAGTTCTACAGAACTCTTAGGCCAGCAGAAGGGTGGTATATAAATGACATAAATTTATATTTCTCACAGCAAGTTAGGCTATATTAAGGTTTTCTCCATTTCATATTAGGCTGAGCATCTAAGAGTTATTGCTGTAGGGTTAATAAGTAACAGCACTGTTACTAGTCAGAACTTTTTAAAAAGAGAGTCCGTTGTACTTTCCTGTTAAAAGTGTTAGAAGTATAAATCACTTTAAAAGTGGCTAGTAAGTGGTGCAGATTAGTATGTGCAGTATTTTTCTCCCATTATGGATTTGTCATAGACTTGCAGTTCTGGAAGAATTGTGAGATGTGTTCATTTGGGTTGGTTGTTACCAGATAACATTAAAAATGTGTGATTAATTTTAATCTGGCTTTTTAAAATAAAAAAGTTCATTTTTATTTTGCTAAATGTCTAGGCTTACATTGCTTGGTCTGAGGACACACATTGAAGCTTAAGTTAAACAAGTCTGGTAGCTAGTTAGGACCTGGATGGGAGACCACCTGATAATCCCATATAAGCCACTTTGAGCTCTATGGTGAAAGAAAGACAGGATATAAACACACTAAATAAAATAAATTCTTTAACTATGCTGGAATACTGAAAATTACATTCATATTCATAAGAGAGGCAGGTATTGAGGTATAAGCAACCATATATGTTGAGCATATATTTTTTGTGATTCATTGAGAGCTCTTACATTCAGAAAAGTTTCTCTGTGTGTCCCTGATACCATTGTTCAGCACTTTAGGTGGATTAGGCACTGCATTCAGAGGCAAAGAGCATTGGCACCTTCACATCAGGATAGGGCCTTAGATTTAGGTTTCCTGTTGCTCCCAAGCAGGTAAGGGGCTCTGACTAAGCTCTGGCTTTTATGCCCCAAACCCAAACCTCTTTATTAATTTGTGGCACCACAATAGGTGGTGGCACTAGGATAGGTTACTGTAAGATACAAGAACGTTGTGAGACAATACTTATATATTCTTACTGAGCAATTTTTGGAAAGGCCAATAAATTAAGTCAATGTGAACATGTACTGTATTTCTGGACAACCAACTTAAACTCAGCAGGCTGTGAGACAGTGTTGCACCGAGTAAATGCTACTCTGAGTTTGAAACAACATAACCCACCACATCAGACTGTGCTTCAGATCTTCTCTGTTTAAATACTTCAACCATTTTTTAAAACCTGTATTAACTATTCAGTCAAATAACATCCTCTTTTGTTTTGTTTTTTAAAAACAGGAATTAAACATTTGAGAATTTTAAATCCATTGCTTGTCTAGCAGGATTGCAAGGTAAGCTAAATACTTAGCTATTTTAAATATTTTTAAGACCATTAAAATTCAAAAATATTTTAAATATTTTGTTGGAAGCCGCCCAGAGTGGCTGAGGAAACCCAGCCAGATGTGCAGGGTATAAATAATTTGTTGTTGTTGTTATTTTATTAAACCATATCATTTATAGTTTCATTTGGGGGGATGGAGACAGTTTGCTGGCATCCGTCTGTCTCAAGAGACAACGGAGTGCATCTCGGGGGGTGAATTCAAACCTCTGGAGAATCACAGCACCTGCTGTGGCTACAGAGATTGGTACTTTGTAACTGCTCCCAAAAAGAATTGGTGTTTTGAGTGACTTTCTGAGTTATGGATCAAAGGTAGATATTTGGGGTAAAGAACAGTAGAGTAGTTAGTGACTATTTTTAGTTCAATATAGACAAGGATAAATGAAAGGTCTTTTTAATCAAGAAAGGAACAGCGCACACACAAAAATGCATAAGCATTAAATGTATTCAGTGTGAATATTGAAAGAATAGTTGACATTTTTGTTCCCTGTTACCTATAGTGCTTTCCACTGATCTTTGCCATGATGTGGGACATAATGTTTGAGGAGATTAGTGATAATTTGAAAAGTTTTTTTGGAAGGGTGGAATGGCTTCTACTTGAATTTTTTTTTAAAAAAAACATAATTTACCACTATCCATATATGAATTGATCATCCTGAAACTAAGGTAATGTGTTTCAATTTACTATTTTCTATTTGGTAGGTGTAAGCTACTGGGGGAAAAATGGGTCGCTCTAACACTAGATCACATTCTTCAAGATCAAAATCCAGATCACAGTCCAGTTCAAGGTCAAGATCCAGATCACACTCTAGAAAAAAGAGATACAGGTACATTTCCTACATTTATTAACTTTCTCAGTGGTTTAATTTTTTTTTAACATTTGAAAGACAGACTTTATTATCAGCAGAAATTTGAAATGCATGCTAAGAATCACATAATAGCTTAAGTGCTGTTTTGAGAAGATTCAACTGATTTTAGAATACATTTTTTGCTTTGGCTACTGAAGCTTGTAGACTACCGTTGGGTGTGGAGTAGTTGCAGAGGATGTACAGGACTTAATGCTTATAGCAGATGAAATGTCAAGAAAGAAATGCTTATAAACAAGAGAAACCAAGGGAATTAGTTGCTCTGATTCTTTACCCTGACTCTCCCCAGCCCCCTCCAGCTCCCATCATATAAACAGAAAGAGTAGCTATCTGCACATTTCTTTGAAGGAGGGCTTCTATATTTTATTCCATTAATAGAGCACTTTGAACCTCAAAGGCTGCTGTTCAGAGTGCCTCCTGACCTTAATGGAGCTACTTGGGGCAGAGGTCTGTCTGGGCCATGCCACTGTACATAATATGGGTAACTCTTATTTTAGAACAGTCATAAACTATGGGCACTAACATTTCTATTTATCTTAGTTCTAGGTCTCGGTCTAGGACGTACTCACGATCTCGCAGTAGAGATCGTGTTTATAATAGAGATTACCGCAGAGATTACAGAAATAATAGAGGAATGAGACGCCCCTATGGCTATAGAGGAAGAGGTAGAGGATATTACCCAGGAGGTGGAGGTAGATACCACCGTGGAGGTTACAGACCCGTTTGGAATAGAAGACACTCTCGAAGCCCTAGACGAGGTCGCTCACGTTCTAGAAGTCCAAAGAGAAGGTCAGTCTCTTCCCAGAGATCTCGGAGCAGATCTCGCCGATCCTACAGATCTTCCAGGTCTCCAAGATCCTCTTCATCTCGGTCTTCATCTCCATATAGCAAGTCTCCCGTATCTTCTAAAAGACGTGGGTCATCAGAAAAGCAAGCAAAGAAAACGGAGGGAGCTGCTTTACAAGACAGTCCATTAAAAAATAAATCACAAGAGGAGGAGAAGGGTGCATTTGAACATGATCCTTCTGAAGCACTAGATGATTTCAGTAAATCTGCAGCAGCTTCAGGTGATATTTGGCCTGGCCTTTCAGCATATGATAACAGTCCGAGGTCTCCCCATAGTCCTTCTATTGCTTCCCCACCTAGTCAGAGTTCCTCATGCTCTGATGCCCACTTACTCAGCACAGTCCACTCAGCAAAAAACACACCTCAGCACTCGCATTCCATTCAGCATAGCCCTGAGAGGTCTGGGTCTGGCTCCCTTGGAAATGGCTCTAGTCGCTATAGCCCTTCCCAGAATAGCCCACTGCATCACATTCCTTCAAGGAGAAGTCCTGCTAAAGCAGTTGCATCGCAGAATGCTCCACGTGAGGAATCTCGGATACGTTCTTTTTATCCTGAAGCTGGGGATCAAGAAAGTACAAAGGGTGCAAAATTTCTGAAAAGGTAGGAACCATAACTACAAAAATAAAAGATAATATAAATAGTACAGTAAGCATACTTCTTTATACATGTATATTGTGCAGTGAAAAGTACCTGAATTTTCTCTAATTTTATGCTGGTTATACTAAGGTTCTGACTTAGGAATGTATACATGAACTTTTCATTGTTTCTCAGTCAGAGCTGTAAATATACGTTTTCATTAGTATGTTACAGTGTCTTCATTGGAAGCAATTAAAGAAGAAATATACTGCCGATTAATGTGTATTAACAGTCCTGTTATGAGAGTGATTTTCCCATATTTTTTACAGCTTTAATAAGAGTTGCTCTAGCAGTGTTAAGCAGTAGTGCTGAAAGATCCTTTTGTCTTGGTAAAGGAAATACCATTGTGGTGGCCCAGATTTTTCAAAAGTGCAAGATTGTATCTATCTTCAGTAGAGAAATTGTTAAATTTAAACTGGACATTGGCAACTTTCTAGCTGACAAGGTTCTCACCTTTGTTTATAATGTATCTGTAGAACTGAACATAGCTGTAACCATTTATGCAATGTTGTGTCTTTTAAAAATGAAATAATCAACCAGTTGGAAATCTGTTTCTCTGAGCTCTGCAGGATAGATAGAACAATTCTGTTCACTTCTCAATTTACTGAATATATCTTCTGAAATATATTATTTTTTATAAAGGAAAAATTGTTCTATTAGCTTAGTAATATATAATAAATGGCATACAAATATTGTAGAAGATTACAAATGAAATAGACTAGGGGGCCTAGATGTACTTTTAATATATAGGATAGAGACTGAAAACCACATTGCATTGCTTCAGTAACTGCTTTGGCAAATGCCTTGCAATTTATTGTATCCAGATTGTAAGTGTGTTCTACTATGTAAGCAGTGTAAGAAGACATTTTTATAAGCTGTTTTTTTGACAGTGTTATATGCTCTGAACTTCTGGAATTAAATGGGATACAGATACTGTATTTGTGCTGAAATGTATTTAAGAAAAATAATGATTTGTAAAAGAGAGCAGTTTTCTTACAAAATAAAATAGGCACAGAAGTACAGGAACTTGTGCAAGAAATAGTTTAAAAATCTGAAGAGCCACTGAAGAATCTCATCAGTCAATATATAAAAAACGTTATAATTGTTTAATTAAATTTGTTTGCTTTGTTACTCATTTTGTGGAGTTGGGATGCCATAAGGATAAATGCTACAAACTGAAATGAAAGCAGTTGGGAGTTATTCTTCTCTTCTTTGCCATCCACAGGTACACAGATGAAGAGTCTAGAGTATACCTGCTTGAGAGGAGTAATGCTAGGGAGAAAGATGCTCAGAAGGAGAGAGGGCTAGAAAAAGGGAGGACAGAGGGAGAGAGAGAGTGGGAGGACCAAGAAGCTTTGGAATATTATATGGATAAAGAATCTGGAAAACAAAAATTTAATGACTCTGAAGGGGAGGACACAGAGGAGACTGAAGATTATAGACAGTTCAGAAAGTCTGTTTTGGCAGATCAGGGTAAGGGCTTTGCTGCATCTCACCGGAATGCTGAGGAGGAAGGCTCAAAGTATAAATCTAAAATCTCTCTGAAGGCAAACAGAGACAGTGAAGGATTTAGAGAAGATAAAAGTTACAAGCTTAAAGACACAACTAGCTATGTAGTGGAGAGGCCTAGTGCACTAAAAGATAAGCACAAGGAAGATGAGAAAGTATCTGAGAGAATGATGAAGAAAGAAACCCAGTCACCTGAGCAGGTAAAGTCTGAGAAGCTCAAAGAACTCTTTGATTATAGTCCTCCCCTGCACAAGAATTTGGATGCAAGAGAGAAATCTACTTTCAGGGAGGAGAGCCCACTTAGGATCAAAATGATAGCCAGTGATTCTCATCGACCTGAAGTTAAACTTAAAATGGCACCTGTACCACTTGATGATTCAAACAGGTAATTATCTGAATTTGTAACCATTTTCACTTATCCATGAAGGAATTGCTTTTCATAAATTTTTGTTCTTCTTTTTGTGTTATGCACTTTAGACCTGCTTCCTTGACTAAAGACAGGCTGCTTGCTAGTACACTTGTCCATTCAGTCAAGAAGGAGCAAGAATTCCGATCCATCTTTGACCACATTAAGCTACCACAGGCCAGCAAAAGCACATCAGAGTCATTTATTCAGCACATTGTGTCCTTAGTTCATCATGTCAAAGGTATGCTTTGAATTTGCCATACAAAGTGAGCATCATATGGCATTAGGAAAGTGATGGTGAAGTCAATCCATTGGGAAATTCAGCACTTTTATGTTCATGTAGACTTCATGCTTTCCTCTTATGGTTATATATCCTAACATTCAGCATTCTAGGAAATGGATATGTAGATTTTGATGAGTGTTGCATAGTTTTAGAGAAGCTTTGGCAGATTTTACTTAAATTATTCCTCTTTTCCCTGGATTCCGATGAAAAGGAGGAGGAAATGAGATGGAGATTAAAGAGATGTGTAGGACAGAGAGATGGGAAAAGATGGGGATAATAGAGGTGAGAGAGCAGATAGTGTTAAGGGATACACAGTGAAAAGATGGGGGAAACAGAAATTGAGCTGCAGAGACCCCTGTAGGTGGGGAGGAAATATTAAAAAGAGGGTTAACTGAGAAAGGTTTGGGTGGAAAGATGAGTGTGTGCTATGATGTACAGAGCAACCTAGTTAGAGATGACTAAATAAAGTGCTGGCATAAAATCATAACATTGTGGGAAATATAGTGGTTTCCTAATAAGAAAGTGGCCCTCAGGGTGATTTGAGTTGTGTGCCTCTGGCGTAGGCCAGTCTCTTGCATCTAATTGTGTGCATGTGTATCTGATACAGTTACAACTTGCTGAGATTTCATCTGGTCTTGAATAATTTTGGTTTGCACTACATGTCAATATAAAAGAGAAATGCAGCATAACGTCTTTTTAGTTAAGTCTTCTTGATCCTTACTGTCACACTCCAGTAGGAATTCTGTAGTGACAAATTAAGTCATCCTCATGTCAATATGTAGTGGAACTAAGTGCATTGCTGACTAAATAGCCTTGCATAGGTGTAAGTGTTTGTTTTTCAACTTACAGCCAGAAGTTGGGTCTCCTGCTCCAGTGTAAGGAGCTTAGGCAGTCCATTTATAGCTGGGTAGGCCTTGGATGGTACCCAAAGGGCAGAGATTGGCATGGGAGTGTGAAGTTGCTGTATTTTTCGCTTGATAACACGCACCCAACCATAACATGCATGCAGTTTTTAGAGGAGGAAAACAAGAAAAAAAATATTCTACACGAAACAGTGGATGTATGATTTTTGTGGTTCATGCTGATCTGATGGTGAGTTTGGGGTAGCCCAATGCAAAAATCCTGAGGATCCATGTGGATCCATGTTTGTAACCACGTTTTTGCACCACTGCGGCCCCAGGCAACAGTGGGTGCGTGATTTTTTTGGTGCAAACGGTAGCCATGGGCATGCTATGTGATCTGATGGTGAATTTGGGGTGACCCAGTGCAAAAATCCTGAGGATCCATGTGGATCTGTGCTTTGTAACCACGTTTTAAGTGGGGAGGGAAGGAAAAGCACTCAAGGGACAAGGAGCACACGTGGAGCAAGCTCTGCTTCTCTCCCTCCTCCCCCCCCCCCTTAGCGAGCTGAAAAACTTTGCTGGAGGGACAGAGAGCCTGCTTGCTTTAAAGGAGCCTACCGGACTCCGGTAGGCTCCTTTAAAGCAAGCAGGTTCTGCTTCTCTCCCTCCTCCCCCCCCCCCCCTTAGCGAGCTGAAAATCTTTCCTGCTATTTCCAGCAAAGCGGGAGAAGAGCCGCTGAGTGGGGACGAGAGAGATACAGAGAGCCGAGTGTAAGCGGCTACTGTCCGGTAGGCTCCTTTAAAGCAAGCAGGTTCTGCTTCTCTCCCTCCTCCCCCCCTCCCCCCCCCCGCTTAGCGAGCTGAAAATCTTTCCTGCTATTTCCAGCAAAGCGGGACGAGAGAGATACAGAGAGCCTGCCTGCTTTAAAGGAGCCAACCGGACAGTAGCCGCTTACACTCGGCCTCCCCTCCCGCTTTGCTCCTTTAAAGAAGCAGGCACTCTGTCCCTCTCTCCTCTCCATTCAGCGGCTCTTCTCCCGCTGGAAACCACAGAGGAGGGAAGCATTCGCTCCGTAACACGCACAGACATTTCCCCTTACTTTCTAGGAGGAAAAAAATGTGTGTAATGGAGCAAAAACTACGGTAGTTGTCCTTAGGTACCTGTACAGGGCTGAACTTCAAAATCATTAGTTGTTTGGGAATCCAGAGACACACAGCATTGCATAGCCCCAGTGGGCAAATGGAATGCATGCTCCTCTCCATAGTTGCATACTCTATTTTGAGATGAATATGAATAATGTCATATAAAATCCCCCAGTGTGCCCCCTCCATAGTCCCATGAACTCTCTGAGTGACCTCCATTGTCATGTGAGTGGACTTCCACTTGCTCAATGGGACTTCCTATTTCTCTTCTCCACCCTGTTGCCCTCTGCAGATCTTCTCTGAAAGGTCTCTGAACTATCAAGCAGATTTGAGGGGCATGGGAGCTAAAAGTGGGAAGAGAGGAAGGGGAAGTTTGATTGTACAAAGAAATATATTACACAGTTGGAACTGTGGTCTTGGATGTTACCCTTTCTGTGCATAGGAGCAGATCTACTAAACACTATGGGTAAGAGCAATCTGATGTCACTTGGAAGTACAGGGGGCACAGACAGACATTATAACCCCAGCCTCAGTGCACTGGACCACCTGTAAAGTGAAAGATGGAATGGCAAGTTGGAGGCAGGCTGTAGCCTAGCTGTTACATGTACAAGGAACAGTGCACTGAAGCCAATCTTAGTTAGATTTCAGTGTGTTAGCACTTTTCTTATTTTGTAATTAAATGAGTTGCATTTAAATTAGTTATATTTAAAACTGATTGGGATTGCCTGACTGATTCAAATGATATTCTTCTAGAAATATATATTTAAAGACACCCTGGTTACTAATAGATTTCTAAGTTTCTCCTCAAAATGGTGATAGCTCTTACTTGCTAGCTAGAAAGCTGCTACTTGGTGTAGGCAAGTCCCAAGACCTACCTCCGAATCCAACAAAACAAAACAAAAGCATCCACATATGACATTGCTCAGTCATATATTTGAATCAAGCTGGGATTAGAAGGGGAAGATTTTCAGTTGCAGCCAGAGGCATGTGGCTGTGTTTGCAAAACACTAGCTGAATGTATTTAAGTATAAGTCTAGAGATGTTAGCCATTGGGGTTTCCCCCCTGGTGAAGTAGGCATTTGGGAAGAGAGCATAGGTAGCTGCCTTCATTTTGGTCAGACTTTTTGTCTACTTAGCCCAGTATGGTTTTGTGTAACAATCAGAGGTCTTTCGTGTTACCTACTCCTCTTTTTAACTTGAGAGGCCTGGGATTCAATATGGAACCTTGAGCTTGCAAAATATGTGCTTTATTGCTTAGCTACAGTTAATTCTCTTATCTAATATTACTGATATGTATAGCTGTTTTCCTAACATTTCCACATGCATATACTTTAGTTTGAATAGTGGGTCTGCCAAATGTATTCATTGGAAGGCACCATCACTCAAGCTCAGCAAATATCAACTGCAGGACATCTTGATTAAGGACAGATTTTGGGTTGTGTTCAGTGTAGCACTAATGTGAACATTCTGTTGGTGTAAGGATTTCTCCTTGTGCAGTGGTATGTTCTTCCCCTGTGCACCCATGAAATCTGTTCTGGAGTTCCCCCAGCCCTCCAGAGCAGATTTGGGGGTGATGGGGGAGAAGAGGGGGTTTCATTTTGCTATTTCAAGAATGTAGTTAAATACCACCCTAAATTTCCTGCTTTATGTTGCTTTTTCTTGAGGAACAGCTAGTTTTGTTATAATAGTAATAAATCATGAAGAATTTCAAAGATGTGACTTTGCTGGTGAAAATATTGAAAATAACATAGTATATGGACTGACTGACCAGATCTCTAACAGTTATGCAACATGGGGCACAATATTATAATAAAGTTACTGAAAATTCATTTTCTTATGCTTTTATTTCTCTCACTGTACTAACTTAGATGTTGCTAATTGTTCATCAAGGGAGGAGCAGACAATTGATTTTTTTGCCTACTATAGGATGAGATCCAACATAGCAAGAGCCAGCATTTGTTCTCGTAACAAGCCATCTTCTTCTCCTTCTCTCCCTTGCATGCCCCCAAATCTGCCCTGGCGAGTTGGGGGACCCTTGAGCAGATTTTGGAGCTGCAAGTAGCTGGAGGGTGGAGAAGAGAAACCAGTAGTCATATTGCATAAGCAAATTTTCTTTATGCAAGTGGGTGTACATCATTGCATGTCACCCTTAGAATGAAGTATTTATCTTGGCCTAGATAGAAAGTTGCATTTCTGTATGTCTTGTGTTATATTTGTACATCGACTGTAGTTGTCAGCTGATCTTCTAAACATTTTCAATTCATGCCAATTTGAGAACTGCAAAACAAATCTTAATAAGCTTCCCTACCCAGAAAATGTTTTACCAAATTATGAAATCCCTGACATTATGCTAGCTAAAGAGATCATTTAAATTGAATGGTTCCAGTGAATATATAAAATACACAATTTGACCAGATATCACTAATCTGTGACCAAATTAGTGCTGTGTCTAAATCATAATTTGTTTCCGAAGGTATTTCAATCTTTTTACACACTTGAAAAAACAAAACCTGTGGATCGAGTTTTGGTAAAAGCATAGTAGTAATTTTACATTATTGGTGCAATGCAGCTAGACTAAACAGCTCTTCACTTTCCTAGAGCTGAAAATGCCCAGTGATATTTTCTTTTTCATTGCAACTAGGTCCTGGAATGTGTTTTGAAATGGCAAAATCCATATTACAAAAGTAAAATAGCTGTTGAAAGATAACAGATGCACAAACAGGCAAAGTTGAACCTTCTATCTTCCTGGCAAAAATGGCACAAAAACTGAGTTGCTAGCTCAAATTCCTGTGTTTGATGGAATTATGATTGAGGCACTACCCTTGTAGTGGCCATATCAAGTTTTAATGATTGGTTATGAGAGATGTGCTGGATGTTGGGCGGTAAGTTGATACAGATGTACATTGACCTGTTAAGCGGATAGCTTGCTTTATTTGTAGCATTTAACAGTCCGTTATAATTTTACACGTGTTTCTATTTTACATTTACATTCAAACATCTGTTGAACTGGTCTTTCAAAATGTAATGTGTGTTACTAATTTAATGGTCTTGGGTTAAAAAAAGGAAACTTTTAAATATGCTACCAAGTTTGCCAAGATGCCAGATGTTTAAATATATTCAGCTGTTAAGGTCTTCATTCTGGTCTGAAAAGAAGAAGTTGTGTTTCTTTTAAGGAAAAAACCTCCCATATCTTTATCTTATATATGTTTACTTAGAAATGAGTCCAAGTGAATTTAAGAGGGCTTACTCTAATATAAACGTGTGTAGGGTTACAACATTAATGAAGAACACTTAGCTCTATATCTATCAATTAATTAAATAACCAAAGAAGCTCTCTTTAAATTTGTAATATTTTCCTCTACAAATACAGCAATGTATTCTGCTCTTCTGGGCACAAAGCAAAAATGTTTGGCTAAAAGAACTGTCTCCGGCATTAAAAAGTTATTTTTTTTTAATTCGTAGTCGTACTGGCCAGATGTATGTGTAGAGAAAATTGTAAAATACAATGGTTACCTGTTGCTGTACTTTGAGAAAGATGTGGGGACAAATGTTATTTTTGTGTCTTGTATATTGTAAGAATTCATTTGCTTCTTTTACATCCTTGTTTGGTATTATATATATGTGTGTGTGTGTGTAGTGAAATTAGACAGTATTTGTCCTCTGCAACCAACAGAACAATATTTCAAGTCAGCTGGAATGACCCTAAGTGAGAGGTTCACTGCTTATCAGAAGTCTACTGAAGAACATAGCACCCGGCAAAAGAGTCCTGAAATACACAGGTGCAGTATTACATAATTTTCGCTGCTTCTTGCTGAGCTGAAATACTAGTTACTCTCCAAAAGATAAGTAACTTCTTAGTGAAACAACAAGTTCCTTATGGAGAAGAAATTATTGGGGGAAATTGCCAGATCAGATGTGATACATACTTAATTGTTAAAGTCTGGTAATAATAAAAAAATGTTTCATGAATTGAAAATGTTTCTGTAACAGGACACACTCCTGACTGGGGTTTTCTTTCTTTCAAAAAGGCAGGAGGTTGGAGATTTGAAAGTGGGGAATTTAACATGAATCCCTTGTCATGGTTACTTCCTCTTGAGGTTTAGATTTCCCCCCTGTGAATGGATGGAGACCTGTTGAAATGGGTCACCCCTGAAGACTAATGGGGGCTCTGTAGGACTTCTGGTATGTTTGGCACTGCTGTTGAAGCCTTAGTTGCTCTGTAGAATATGGAGATGACTTGGCAGTTGACATCATAGTGCCCAGGTGTCCTTCTCCTTAGCAGAACCTGGGCAGCATTTGGTATATAGCTATACTGATACCTGTTTCTGGGGAAGAAGCAGGATATTATTATGGTTATGGTTATGGTTATGGTTATGGTTATGGTGAGGGCAATTAAACAAGATGGGAGACAGCTTAAATGCAGAGAAATGGAAGACTTGTGCTGAGACCTGATCATTATATTGAGATTATTCTGTGGGAGTGTTGCTGCTAAATTAAAAAATTATGTTCACCACTGTATTCTCAGTGTTATTTAGCTGAACCTTTCCAGATGTATAAAGGCCTGTTTACAGTGCAGTTCTGAAAGGCAGGCAGTAGGAATACCACAATGAGATACATATGGAGTTGCCTTAGAAAACAGTCCAAAAAATCTAGCTGGTTTAAAATAGGACAAAAAGAACACCAATGCTTTGTTAACTGCACTGACTCCTAGTCAATTTCTGGGCCCAGTGTTGGTATTGACTGAAGATAGTCTCCTCCCGTGTAGATGTACCTGGACCCCAAGATCATCTTCAGAGGTCTGTCTGTAGGTGCTCCCACCCAATGAGGTGAGGTGGGTGGCCACTGGGTAAAGGGTCTTTTTAGTAGTGAGGCCCCAGTTGTAGACTGTTATCTCCAAAAAGGTTGTGGTCTTTTTGGTGCCAAATGAATACTTTTTTATTTTCAAATGTCGTTTAGATTTAGTGTATTTTTAAGTTCTGTGCACTATTGTTGTTTTCTGATGCTGTTTTAATTGATTAATATTTTATGTCTTTCTTCTATTTTTACATTTCATAGCTTAACTTCTATATGTAAACTGCCCAGAGAATTTTTTGTTGATGGGCAGTATAGAAATATTGTAAGTAAATCAATAAATGCTTCATTCAGTTTAAATGGTAATTGTGTATATTGGCAGGACCAGCACAAAATTTCCTGGTACCTGAGGGCACAGCCAGCACTGCTTCCCAGTGTACCATTCCCATGGCAGCCAGCAAATACCTTTTAAATTTAACAGTGTACTACTTTTAAACTTTAAACTGCTTACTCTTCCTTAGAACAAGGCTGGGTGACCCAGTTCCAGTTAAAAGCCTTGTAGAAACTCCTTGAGTGCTAAATAGAAGGATGACCAGACTGAGGGACAGTGTGTGAATATGCTACTCTTCTCAGTCTGCCATCTGAAGAGAAGGTCTCAGCATAGCTAATGGATGGCCTGGGCCTGTTGGGGAGGGGATACGAAACTTTATGGCCAGGATACAAAGAGCAAAGGGAACTATATGTGCTTTTTCCATAGCTATCCTCTGTACTGTATCACAAACTGTATGTAGTTACAAAAGTACATACAGGGCAATTGCTCAAAGAGAATTAGAATTCTCGCTGGGGCTTTCTCTGATATACAGCTCTTTGACTCAAGGCCTAAGTTTGCAAAAAGTTAAATAGGATATAAAACATTACTCCCTAACTCTAGCTATGTGTGTTTAAGTGAATGATGATACCTGTCAAATGAACTACAGGTTTTGTTTTTCTCTGTGTGGAGTTGCTATGTCTGTGTATTGTTAATGTAAAAAGGCATTTGAATTTTCTAGTTTGAAATTGCCCCTGAAAGAAAATGTTGCATTATGTGGTTTTTGAATACTGCTGTTGGTTTAACTTCGTGGAAATGTGTAGCTGTTGTTATTTTGATTTGACTGGTAGGTCTATGGGTTTTATTCTTGAGATGTATCTGTACTTTTAAATGGGTTCAATTTTAGACTGCACAATGGCACTTCTTCTTTTGTGTTTCCAGTTTTCCACTTGACAGAGATGAATGTTGGCAGCCATAATTATTACTTTTAAAAATCTTGCATTTAGGAGGATTGACATCTCTCCAAGTGCCCTGAGGAAGCATACCCGTTTAGCGGGAGAAGAGAGAGCCTTTAAAGAAGAAACTCAGAAAGTAGGTTCTAAATTGATATTCTTAATTTTAGTTTTGGTTTAAAGCATCCAAGCCCTTTATCCAAGAGGCATGTTTTACAAATTGTGCTTTTATCATTTTATGTCTTAAGTGATAATAGGTCTGACCTAGTTCTGATCATTTTCGAAGGATGCAGTGGACCAGTTTTGTGTAATCTAATTGTGACATTTTATCACTTTGACACAAAAGGATTACTGTACTTTTTGTTCTTAGAAAAATAGACAATGGATTCTCTGAATTTGCTTAATTCTCGAATTTGCCAGTCGCACTAAAGTCTTTCACTCTCAGGAGCAGTTTTTTTTCCTTTTAAGTGGGGGTGGGTGGGGGTGTGATATCCAGAAAGCCCTGTTTCACGAGTGGTATCCTACCTCTGGCTTCAATCCATTAATTACCAATGTTATCCACGAAGAATGTAAAATAAACTTTTCTTTAGACTGTCCTAGTAATTGTTAAAGATGTTGTTATATTGAAGTTTTGTTCCTGGATAACACTTGAAAGCTTCTTTCAGGTCTGCTTTCTTTTTGTAAGAATAACTTCTCAGTCCCAATTCAAGCAAGTTTACTCTCTTCTGTGAAAGATCATTCTACTAAATGTGCAAAAGAGCTATTGGGAAAGGGAATATCGCTTACATAGCTGGGTAACAATGGAATTCTATGCCTGTTTATTTAGATGTATTCCCACTAGGTTCATTATGATTTACTTACAGGAAAGTATGTATAGGATTGCATGCAAAGAGGTTGATTTCCTATTTCATTCTCTTAAGGGTTTTTAATACTAAAACACTGCACATTTCTGATCCAGGGAGATAAAAAATTAAAGTGTGATGCTGCAGATCTTCGACATGACATCGACCGTCGTAGAAAAGAAAGAAGTAAAGAACGAGGAGACTCTAAAGGTTCCAGGGAATCCAGTGGATCAAGGAAGCAGGAGAAAATTCCAAAGGATTACAAGGATTATAAATCTTACAAAGATGACAGGTAAAAGGCTCAGCTCCCATAACTAGGCTTTTAGCTTCTAATTAGACTTTTGTAATTATAAGCTTAATTGCTTTCAGTTATCACTGTACAATGGAACATCTAAATTTAAACAATTAAAATTATTTGTTTTACAGCAAAAATGTATTTGTCTTTTACACGGCTTATGGTGGATGAGGACAAAAACTTTGGAATAGCAAGCTAACACTGAAAAAAAATGACAAATTAATCTGTCCTATTATCCAGGCTACATCAGGAGGTTGGACTTCAATGCAGTACATTTCTGTAAACAGTTTGTGTAAGAACTTTGGTTCGTTATGCTTGATTCCGCACTTTTTCAACTCATAACACCCAGATTATGAGAATTTTACTGACATGTAGGCTTAATGTGGGAAAGGGGGGGTGAGAGTTATTTCCCCCCCTCAAGACAGATAGTGGGCTCAGAGGAACAGGTTAGTCTTTAATAAAGCAACTTACTCAATGTGAACTTGTAGCAGTGATAAGAATTACTTCAGGTATATCTACCTTTGGGGATTTGTATTATATTCTATAAAAACTGTAAAATCAAATGTATTTGCTTTGGGGAAATTGAATGTGAAGATCATATTTTCCTGCTCTTACTTACATAATCATGGATTTACTTGCACTTTCTGTTTACTTTCTTACACTGATGTCCATACAACCATCAGTTGCTGATTATTTCTGCACCCTGGGTTTATATAGCAAAAAGGCAATATCAATTTTTGCTTCTTGGTAAGATGTACAAAATAAATGAAATAGTATCACTTTAGAATTTTACCCTTGGGGATTTCCCCCTACCTTTTATTCTCTCTTCCATTGTAAAGCATGCATATATATTTAAATTAGTTTGCTGGCTAATAGGTTCTCCTTGTTAGGTGCTATGAGCCATTAGCTGTTAAAGAGTTATAGACGGAAACTGGATAGTGTAATAATACTGCACGTTAGATTCAAACAAGAAAAGAGGATAGCTTCTATGGGCACAGAAAATAAATCCTATGTATAGGATGCTACAGCAAACAGTATGGTTTCTTATTTTTCAGTAAACAAAAAAGAGAGCAAGACCGTTCTCGATCTTCCTCAACTTCCTCCCCATCTTCCTCCTCATCCAGTTCCCGAGAAGAAAAGGACAGCAAGAAAGAAAGAGATGAAGAATTTAAACCCCATCACGAGCAGAAAGAATACCCAGGTTTTACAGGAGTTGGAAGACCTAGAGGCACATTTGTGAGTTTCTACCATACTTTTCCTGTTTTTTTAAAAAAGTCATAATTGTAATAACTGCATTCAAATTATTAGGGTTTAGTTGTTTTATGTGAAATATTATGGAAGTGCATTTTGAAGAAGTTCCTGCTGGAAATGTAGTTTGCAAGGAGGAAATATATAAAATCCTATCCTAGATAGGGATATATTTATCTTTTTTGGCTTAAAATAATAAAAATATGCACAATAAACATCTAGCCACACCTGCGGTGTTTCCTATTCTGTTCTACCATTAGCTTGCACATATGCTTGGTAGTCATGATTTTAAGTGTTTGAAAAGTTGATTGTGAATTTTCTCACAGAATATTCTACCTTGTTGGTGATACTTAATTAAGGAGTAAGTTTTTCTGCTGTGTGTATTCCTTTGTCCATATTCTTTGTTTTACTTTTTTGTATTTCTAGTCTCTTTTTAATCATGAGCAGTGTTTTGAGCAGGAGGGACCAAATTAACCAGAGTAATGCGTGACTACAAGAGAAAACAGTGCCATCTGGGCTTTCATGTTCAGTGACAAATAAGGAGCCAAGTCATCCATTATTTGAGATTGGCATGAGAGACAGGTGTATACAATTTTAAAGCAGTTGCCTTATTTGTATTGGGCTAAAGTTCATTACACTCTGGATAGTATCATGTGCTTTAAAATGGGATGAGAGAGTTCTTTATGGGGAAGAGCAAGATGCATTTTTACTGCCTACATCTCATTGCAGGCCAAATCGAATAATGGATTACTTCTACCCAACCCAAACTTCACTAGTAAGGTGTTGGTTTTGTGTGACACGTAGTCACAGTTAAGTAATGCCCATTAATTGCAAATGCCAAAATCCTGAGGCCCTTAAAACTGCAAGATTTAAATAATCCAGAGTTGGCTTGTTGTTGGCTCTCTTCTTTGCTGTGCTTATGGTTTCATTGTTTCAGAATAGGGTAGGATAGCTAAATTCTTAATAGTAAAATATTACAGTTTATCAAGGGTACCTAAAATAGGGCAAAGTACTTTAAAGAATTACAAGAAATTGTTATGTTCAATTGGACTGTGAGCAACCAGTATTTGTAAAAACTGACCTAAGAAGTTACACAAGAATATAATCAACAATAAAGGGATATATAACATTCTTGTTATGGAATGACATGTATGCTGTGAAATATAAAGCAACATTTTAACAGCTTAGTAGTTTAAATGGGAAGATGGAATTGGGACTGGTTATCATTATTGAGGGTGTGTCCAGTTTTAAATTTTAAGAAACACTATTACTTGGTGGCAAATAAGTATATTAGAGAGAGATGATTTAGTGGTGCTTTCTTTTATTTCTTTAAAGTATTTTTATTCTGCTCTTCATAAAAAAAAAAAAGGCTCTGGTGTGACTTACAAAAATCATCAGAAAGGTAGTCCTTGCCCTTGGGCTTTAGATCGAAAGAGAGACACACAGAAGCAAAAGGGGTTTGAAGGGGGGTGAGGAAACAAGCTCATGTACTTGAGTTTCTTGTAATGACCAGCTGGAATTGAAAGATTTGGGAAAGAAGAGCCGGAAGTTGCTGGTCTTTCAGCAGACTCTTAATTGGCGCCCAATAATTTGGTTTGTTTTCTTCACATGATGTGAGTGGACTTAAAGGGCAATACAGTGCACTTGCCCTAGCAATGCAATCCTGTATGAAAATTCTGTTTACCCATATTATATATTAGACTTGGAATTTACATACTTAATATAAATGTATTATGTACATTTAAGAACCTAAGCTTCAGGCAACCTATTCTTTTCTTCCTTATAGCAGTTGCTCTTCCACATCTGCTTCAAAACTACACCACAATCTTTTTATCTTTTCAAAATGTTACCAAAGTCCATTTTCCAAAATCTTCAAATTAGTTACTTAATGTGGTTTATACCTTAGTTAATGGCTTTGAGTGAATACATAATCATTTAATGTTTTTGGTGTAAGTAATATTGTGCCATATAGTTCCTGTTATAAATGAGCCTTCTATATGGGATAGTGTATGAAACATTGAAAGGCAGCTATGACTTGGACAGAACTGTGGGTCTTGCCATGCCAGCAACTAGAAAAAGGTCAAGACTGTTTTTTAATGCTACTTTTTTAAAGTTACTTGAAAGTATTTTTCCTATTACATCTCTGTTGTGCTATTTCAGTTAAAATGCATTTTAAAAAATCTAGGCTCTTTCCTTGTCTCTTACTTTTTCTCCTTTCTTGCTTTTTATGTTGAATATTCTAGACTACCAGACTTTGATTGTTCAATGTAATGTGCAGTAAGAGAACAGTAACTCCCGAACACATGTGTTTAATTTCTCCATCCTTCAAAGCTAGGCTTTTAAGCTGCTTCTTTGGAGAACTAGAAGCACCAGCAAAAATTGCTGAATTTTGTGCTTTCTATGGACTACTAGACATTAGAAATTTCTCACTATCATATACTACTTTTTCAAAGTGTTATCTTGGATACGCCCCTTTTAAAAAAAATATGTAAACGCTCTTCTGCTAGCTAGAATGCCATTACCTTAAAGTGGCAGTTAAATTCTGTAGATTGATCCATAAGCCACTTCATTTGTGTGTGGTATTATCTGATGAATGATAACAAAGCATATTAGTTCATGCATTAGGAATTTATCATTTGCTTTGTGTAAACAAATTAAATGCATAAATGCTTTGGTTAATCAGTTTCGAATTAGGGGCAGAGGAAGAGCCAGAGGCGTGTTTGCTGGAACAAATACTGGTCCCAGCAACTCAAACACTACTTTTCAAAAGAGACCGAAGGAGGAGGAATGGGATCCTGAATATACCCCAAAAAGCAAGAAATACTTCTTGGTGGGTGCCATACTATTATGCATGCATCTTTTCTCAAAGCTTGTCTTATAAGCAAATTTATGTAGGCAATATCTAAAGCATCTTCTTTCATTTGAAGAATCTTAAGAGTCCTATGGGGGAGCATTAGAGCTCATACTTGCCTTTATATCCATCTACATAGGCTGATAAGAAATGACTAGCTGTAGAAGACAGGTCTTTTTGCACAACCTCTTGCTTGCCAGTTGTGAAGAGAAAAGGAGAGAAAGTCTAGCACTTACAACAGGCGTCCCCAAACTCGGCCCTCCAGATGTTTTGGTACTACAATTCCCATCATTCCTGACTACTGGTCCTGTTAGCTAGGGATGATGGGAGTTGTAGTCCCAAAACAGCTGGAGGGCTGAGTTTGGGGTGCCTGACTTACTCCTGCAATACACTGTTGTAAATACCTTATTCTATAGCAGATTTCACAGTTGTAATACTTTCAACTGTAAGGAGATTGGCTTGCATAAGAGCTGTGAGAGAAACCGATAGTAATAGCACCACTGGTTTCAGTTGAATAAAAATAAAAATCTTGCCCCTCCTGTTCACCCCGACCGCCTCCCCCAAGTACTTGTTAGGCCCTGAGGAAGTTATAAATGCTTCCCTGACCCAAAGCCTTTGGTCAATATATGACTAGAAAGAAAAGCACATTTTTGCATTGTATTCTCCTGATGCCCCTTAGACCCGCATTTTTTGGGGGGGGGGGGAATGTTTACAACAAACTTTACCTGCACCATAACTTTGTGCTGCTTTTATGAGGCAAAAGAGTTATTTATGCCTTCCCTATCAGTGATAGCCTGGTCGTCCAGTATTGGGTAATGGGCAAGTTTATCCCCCAAAGGGTTGCCCCCAGAGTATAGCATTTCCAGTAGCAATTCATTTATTGGAGGGAAAGTAAAAGCATCCATTCAAGGAAGACAATGAATTCCTGTCATCTATCCAAAGTGATTTGGGCTTTGCAATTCCTTAACTTGTTTTTAGCCTGTTTGCATTGGGAAGAAAGTCAAGGCTATATCTGAATAGCCTTGTCTGTCCTGTGTTCTGTTTCATGGTCTACACTATGTCAATATTGGGAACTGGCATTTCTGTGTAAAATCTTTCTGATTGCTCACTTGGCAGATTTTTATAGATGAAAATCAAAAAATGTAATGCAAGTGTAATCTGCAACAAAATGTTAACAGTGCTTGTTCCCCTTTCCCCCTCCTCCAGCAGCCAGCCAACATTTGTAGGCATTGTACATACCTAGCCCTAACTGGGCTGTTTTGTGAATCCTCCACTTTGTTTTTTTGTACTTCTGCAAAAGTTCCTCTGAGTGTTGGCTATATAAGTTATAGTTGCAACCACACTCATTCCTCAACATTGGAAATTGAGAGAATGATATGGTAGGCATGGTTAGTTTTCTTTGATTTTTTTGATGTAGCAAAATCTGCCATGTGACTTTTCAGAAAATATGTATATTAACCCATTATTTACTGTTTCTTCCCATACATTTTTGCATCCCATCAATTAGTACTGGTAAACCCGAGGGTGTAGTATAGATAATTGAAACATAGACAATTTATATTGAATCAGACAAGCAGAAGTTTAGAAGCCTGTGCAAATGACTAAGATATTTTGTTGCACCTAAAACTGTGAATAATCTGTTCTGTGACCCTTCAAATCAATGAGGGCCCTTAGATTAGTGGCACAGCATATGCTTTGTATATCTAACATACTAAATTTAATCACTGGCATCTCCTGTTAAGGGATCTTTGGTAGCAGCTCTGGGAGATGCCTGTACCCAAGACATAGTTTTGCGCAAGCTTTCCAGTCCAAATGGACAATGCTGAGTTTGATAGACCCAATATTCTAACTTGATATCGGGCAATTTTGTATGTCTGTATGCTTCAGAACATCAAGAACAAATGACTCAGCTACAGTTTTTAGCTGTGTGAAGCAGGTGGCTCAAACTTTTCCAAATAAAGTGTGTTAGATGCTTAATTTTCCATTGTTAATCCATGTTTTACTCTAGCATGATGACAGAGATGATGGTGTAGATTACTGGGCTAAAAGAGGAAGAGGTCGTGGCACTTTCCAGCGTAGCAGAGGAAGATTCAACTTCAAAAAATCAGGTAGCAGTCCAAAGTGGACACATGACAAATACCAAGGGGATGGGCTTGTGGAAGATGAAGAAGAAACAATGGAAAATGAAGACAAGGAGAGACGTAAAGAAGAAAAAGTAAGTAGTTCTGGTTTATGAACTCCTTTATTGCTCTACGAATTCTAATTCTAATTTTAAATGTCTTAAAAACCCAAAGTGTAAATAGTGCAAACATTTTCATCTCTTTTTGCACAGGAATAGTAAATTTGAAGATGACCTACAGCTGAAAACACCTATGTGCTATCTACACAGCATAATAATATGACTTGTCTTCAAATGAATGTAAGCATTTTACTTAAATTTTATTGTTGGAGAGTAGTTTAGTTTAGTTTTTGTTTTTTGTTCTTTTGCAATCTCACTAAATAGTAACTGTTGATGATTATACAAAAGCAAGTAGAAAAAGTACAATACTATTTGTCATGAGCAACTTTTTAAAATGTTTACTGATTGTTATAAGCAGTGTAACTTTGCTTTGTCCAGAATATATGGTGAGAACCCTGAAAGTTGTATTTCATTGCCCCTTCCACAGCTGTGTTTATTCTAAAGTAAAACTTAGGTCTGCACATCTAAATCTTGAGGCAGCATTTTAAAATAAATCAGTACTAAAGATCAATTCTATGATGGAGTTAGTAATTTCCTGAACTTTTTATTTGTGTGGCTTATGTTTAAATTGCAGCATAATATTTCTTTGACTGATTTGGGTTGGGAGACTAATAGTTTGTTTAACGCAGCCACCAAATGTCTCAACATTTGAACAGCACTGCAAGATTAAGGATTTGCAATCTGTTTTCACAAAGCTTGGTATTGATCACGTTTGAGAACCTGAGTACTTTGCTATCTTTTGTATCCCATTTTCTGAAAAATGAGTGCAAATAGGACATTATGCAAGTCAGTGTTGGGATCTTATTAATTCTCTCATACATTCACATTTCTAGAACACGATGGGAGTTCTCTTCTGAACTGATCTAGATCTGACAAGTAGAGCTGTAGCTTAACAGGTGCTACGTTTCTCCGTCCACATACCCTTACTGCTAATGGGGAAATGCCTCAACTGTTTGTGCAACAGCACTAAAAGTAGCTTGACCTTCTGCATACTTTTCTTACAAGAAGACTTGTCCTACATTCCAAACCTTTAGGCGTACGACAGAAAGAGGTAAATTGTAGTGAAAAAGTTACCTTTTAACACAAGCATGTTTCAGTGTCCCCCCCCCCCCAGTTTACATGCATAATAAACATAGTCTTATGTAAAGCACTAGATGCTATCCATTTATAACATTTAAGCAGTGTGTATAACGAAATGACATTATTACTGCAGGAACATTAGAGGAAGACTCACTGACATCTCATGAAAGTGTCGGCCAGAAAACTCATGGCAATATTGATCCAGCTACCAAATGTATCAATCTTTTCCCCAGTTTGTAAAATAGTATTTTCCGTGGGTTTTCTTCAGATAAATAACTTGACCATTTGGATATCTTCATGTTTTCAGTCTTCAGTGGAATAAAGATGTGAAAATTCTAAAATGACATGAGACTTTCATTTGCAGGTCCAACACATGCCATAGAAACATTATTAAAGCTGTATGTTTAAGTCTCAGCTATAAGGATTCTTGGAGGAAAGTCTGACATTCTATTTTACATTTAAAAACCACATATTGAAAGAGTAATTTAAGCCAAACTTGAATTCATGTGTCCATTTAAAAGCTGAATACCAGTGTTTTGTCCAATAAATTCTACTGCTTGAAATTATATTTCAGTAATTGCTAAGTTCTGAAAGTCACACTGTTGGTACTTGAACTCTGACTGCTGCTGCCAGGTATTAGACTGAATGGCATCTATAAATGCAAAGCATTGAGGTGTACCGTTGAGCACACCCTGCTCAGTATCTTAATGATAATGTGCAAAGTACTGTATTCATTAGTAAAAAAAATTCATTCTTTTGTAAGGTAAACTGTGATATGAAGATTATGGTCTACATTATGACATCACAACAGAGCTTCTCTTTCCAGTTCTCCCTTCAGCCCCCCCAAATCTGTTCCAGAGAGTTGGGGAACCCTATGGAGCAATTTTTGGGAGCTCGGGGGAGTGAAATTGGAAGCTCTGTTGCACAAGCAGATGGGTATTATGGATGCAGCCTAATTTATTCTTACCTTGTTAGGTTAAGTAACCAAGAAGTCTAGATACAGCTGTCCAAATTTCTTGTTTTCACAAAATAAATTCTAGGCTTTTGTAATGTACGACCATGCATCTCCTTTATAAAACTGTAGTTTGGATCTAAAAGGGAGATTTATGCTTTCTTAATCTAGTCACAGATCACACAGGATTTTATTTTTATAAGCCCTTGGGTGGAAGCACAGTGCCTATTTTAAACAAGCAAGGTTACAACAACAGAGTTTACAACTAAAATTAGGAATAACTTTTTGACAGTAAGAATTGTTTGAAAGAGGAACGAACTCCCTCAGAACGTGGTGGACCCTCCTTCATTGGAAGTTTTTAAGCAGAGGTTGGATGGCCATCTGTCATGGATGCTTTAAGCTAGATGACCCTCTGGGTCCCTTCCAACTCTACAATTCTATGATTCTAAGGTAGATTAGCTCAGAAGTCATCAATTTACAACAGTAGCATAGATTTGCAACATTGGGAGCAATGGATTCTCTCTGACTAAATCATATGAGCAGACCCATTGATATCAGTGGGCTTAACTTAGTTACTAACATAAGAACATAAAAAGGGCCTGCTGGATCACCATCTAGCCCAGCATCCTTTTCACAGTGGCCAACTGGATGTCTGTGGGAGACCCACAAGCAGAATTCAAGAACAAGAGCACTCTCCTCTCCTGGGGTTTCCTGCAACTGGTATTCAGAAGCATTACTGCCTCCAGTAGTGAAGGCAGAACATAACCATCAGGGTTTGAAGCTACCACTAGCTTACTCCTCCATTAATTTGTCTAATCCTCTTTTTAAGCCATCCAAGTTGGTGGCCATCACAGCAAGTTCCATAGTTTACTGTAACTATACACTATGAGAAGACGTACTTTCATTTATATGTCCTATTGGACTATTACTAAAGTAGTCCATTGATTTCAGTGGTTCTACACTGAGCATTACTTAATCAGATACAATTCAATATCTACAAAAGGGGGGGGGGGGTTCTGTGAAGTAGTGGAAAAATTGGCCAGCTCATTTCAGGTTGACACGTTTATGCACCAAAACCCACCCATTTGATTGAGCTGCAACTTGATGTTCAGGAGGGCAGGTGTGCCCTTTATTTTAAAATCTAGTAAGGTAAAGGTATTATGACATTGTCACATTTATTGAATTCCCTGACATCTTCTATTTTCAGGAAGTACAGTCAGATGTGACCCCTTCTGATAATAAAAGGCATCAAAGTCTGATGGTAGAATGGTATCCTTAGGCATTGAAATAAACAACTCAGTCCTAGAGGCAAGCCTAGTGATGATTAATATAACAACTGCAAAATAAATCTATCTGTTGGCCCTCCATAGCTCTTGCTTATGTCATTTCCCCACTAATTCAGATTGCTAAAGATGTGTTCAAAGTGAGTTTTGTTTACTTGTATACTATGGTCCTGTCAAGTCCTGGGGTTTTGTGGGGTTTGAAAAGGCTAACCAAAATAATTTTGCCATTGATGTTTCTTCCTCGAGAAATTCACAAAGTCACTTCCAAGAGCATGGGCACTGACTAGCTTGCAACAAGCTTAGTTCTGGTATACTGAACATACTGACAGACATATGATATAAAAGCAGTGGAAGACAGGAGTGCCTGGCGTGCTCTGGTCCATGGGGTCACGAAGAGTCAGACACGACTAAACAACAACAAACAGAACTGACCACCTCCATCTACCTTCTCATACACCAGACACACTTCTGCTCTATTTCTTTATTCAAACCCAGCCACCTTAAAAAATGTGTTGGTGATACCACTTGTACTGTTCCAGGAAGAACTGATAAATGAAAATAAATGACTTGGACATAAATGTGTTGGTTAGTTTTATAATGTGGCAGGAGATGGAAGGTTTGTAGTGTATTAGATATATTTATATCAAGACTCAGAAGATTAGGGTAAAAGTAAAATCATCAGGATCATCCTACATATTGGTGAAAATCCCAAGTAGTCAGGCATGTGCAGCACTAGTTCAGAAATCGCAAGAAGAATGAGCTATGGCACAAAATTTGAGCATTGGGGAAAACCAAAGAGCAAATGCAGTGAGCAGCAAGGCCTGGAATAGCATTCTTTAGTTTCTGTTTTGGCTTAAATTTAAGAACCAAATACATTACAATGAACAAGGGTTAAAAGCATGGATGTGGTGATACAGACTTCCAAACCACTTTGACTGAGCAAAGTAGCAAACAAGGAAGGCCCTGTCAGACTTGAGATCACTACAAGTGAAATAAGGTATGTGTTTTGACATGCAGGACCAATTCAGTGTTTACATGACTGAAACTGCTGTGTTTTCTGATGAGAGAGTTACACAGAGACATGTTCCAGGAAGCTGCAACTGGCCATAGATTCAAGATGTGACAGATCGGAGTGACCACAGACACAATCTCAATTTGGAAACAAGTTTTTTCTGAACCAGATGAGAAGCTTGTTTCTTGGACTATGGAACAATCACAGTGCCAGTAGTGGTTAAGCACTAAGGTAAACCTGAAGGCATTGCTTTCTTGAGACAATATTGTACAGTAGTACCTCGGGTTACATACGCTTCAGGTTACAGACTCCGCTAACCCAGAAATAGTACCCTGGGTTAAGAACTTTGCTTCAGGATGAGAACAGAAATCACGCAGTGGCGGCGCAGCAGCGGGAGGCCCCATTAGCTAAAGTGGTGCTTCAGGTTAAGAACAGTTTCAGGTTAAGAACGGACCTCCGGAACGAATTAAGTACGTGACCAGAGGTACCACTGTATCCAGCGGCGTAGCGTGGGTTGTCAGCACCCGGGGCAAGGCAAGTAATGTTCGACCCCTAACCTGCCGCCGCTGCCAGCTGCTTCTTGCTGCTGCCTGGTCTGGTCTGGTTCTCTCCCGCGCTCAGCGCTGCGCTGGGTGGCCGCTGCACTGTCCCTCCCCCAGATAGTCCCTCGCGCTCTCTCTGCACCGCACGCCTGGCACCCACCCCCTCCACAGTGGGCGGTGACCCAGCGGCTCGGATCGGATTCGCACAGCCAGCACTGCAGTGAGAGAGAGTGAGTGAGCCAGGTAGGGGCAGAGAGCTGCGAGTGCAAGCGCGCCCCCCCAGATGTTGCGCCCGGTGCGGCCGGCCTCCCCTGCACCCCCCACGCTACGCCACTGACTGTATCTATTTGTTAACAGTGCATGTTGCAAGCAGAGAAAAAGGCTGCAACTTGGGAGTGAAAGCACACCTGGCATCTTTACAACAACCAACAGTGTTTAGTGGTGGGAGCTCATACACTTTAAGCAGGCTCATACTGTGGGAAGGGGATTTATAGCAATAATCAAGACTAAATTTGAAAATAAAGCAAGTTGAAACCTGGAATTTTCCTTTGCACAAAAATTAAATCAGAATTAAGGTAAAGGGACCCCTGACCATTAGGTCCAGTCGTGACCGACTTGGGGGTTGTGGTGCTCATCTCGCTTTATTGATCGAGGGAGCTGGGATACAGCTTCCGGGTCATGTGGCCAGCATGACAAAGCCGCTTCTGGAGAACCAGAGTAGCGCACGGAAACGCCGTTTACCTTCCCGTCAGAGCGGTACCTATTTATCTACTTGCACTTTGACAAGCTTTCGAACTGCTAGGTTGGCAGGAGCAGGGACCGAGCAATGGGAGCTCACCCCATCGCGGGGATTCGAACCGACGACCTTCTGATCGGCAAGCCCTAGGCTCTGGTTTAACCCACAGCGCAACCCGCGTCCCAAAATTAGATTTAGGAAGGTGAAATCTAGTAATACTGTTCATTAGCATGTGCATAATTGCACTCATGTTTTAGATATTTGCATAGCCATCAGGAAACAATTGATTTGTAGTATACACTATTCCCTAGGGTTTAGCAGTTTTGAGACTTCATCTGCAGAGTGGTGGTTATCAAGGCAGGTCCTAAACATTCCGCTTCCTGAGCAAAGGACGGCTTCCCCCATTCCATGTAGAGAAGCGGAACTTGACTCTTCAGCCCTGGTGATGGAATAGCATCCTCCAATGCACCTGAGTGGAGCTTTGAGAGTCCTGTTAGCTTAGGACGGTGCACAAAAAAGGATTTGTGGCACACAACTTCGTTCTTCAATAGGCTAGTGGACCTCTGGAGGAATGGCTGAGGGGCTGCCATGGCAGCTTTGTGTGGAAATTAGCTCACCTAAGCCGCCTTGAGTCGCTGTCAAAGGGAAAGCCGGGATATAAATAAATATAATTATGGTAGGGATGGCAACGGTTGTTAAGTTTTCATTAGCTTCAATAGGTACTTGATTAAATATTATGTGATTATAGCTTTTGTCTTGTGTGCTATCTTCCATAAAAGCAGCTAGAAGTGCAACTATAACCACAACCCCTCGCTGACGTATGTTTAACATATACAGTATAAGGCAGTGTCTCGTGCACACAGCGGACGCAATAGCACCTTGGGGATTCTGCCACCCACTTATTAGAGCGCGCTGCCGCTTCCCATCATCCCCCGAGGTCCGAAAGCGTCTCTCCTACGGTTGGGCTCCGCGCCGCGGCAAGCCACACCCTTTCCAGAAACGGCGCCTTAGCGCTGCGGGATTGGCTGCAGAGCGAAGCCACGCCTCTTCCCGCTCACCCAATCGAGAGAAGGAGTGCCAAGGTTTGATTGCGCTAAGTCCTTGTCTCGCGCTCGGCGTCTCTCCGCTCATCTCTCGCTTCGGCGTCCACGCGTGTGTGTGTGAGAGAGAGAAGTCTCGCGGTGGCGGGTGAGTTTCCCCTCCGGCAGCTGCTTCGGTCTCCGCGCGGTGCGCTCCTGCTGCGGGGCGGGCTTCGTTCAGCGTCCTGCTTTAGCCGACGGTTTGGGAAAGTCGTATGAAAGCAGCCCTTCAACGGCTGAAGAGACCGTTGGGGCGGGGTTGGCTCTCCACGCGAGTTGTGGGCTAGCTTCCTCCCCGGCCGATAGGAAGCGGGCCTGTCGAGAGACAAACGACGGGATGCAAAAAAAATAAAATTAAAAAGCAACCCGCCACCAACACCCCCCTCACCGAATGGTAAAACGCCCCTTCCTGACCCCTCAGCTGCTGCAATGAACGAGCGAGGAAAAGGGATTCCTCTGCTTGAGACCTCTCGCCCGCTCTCCCTTCTTCCTGTCACATTGGTGAGGTCTCTGCAAAAGCTGCAGAGTTTGTCCTGGTAACAGTTTCTCATTCAGCTAATACTTTTTTTGTTTTCAATATTTTTATATCACAGTTTAATCATATTTCCAGGTCTCTGTTTACAAAAAGTCGTTTCCTTCCGTCTCTAAACGCACGACCGTCCCTTTCTTCCGTAGAAACGTGACCCTCCGAATGGCGCGGAAATAAAACTGCTCGCACATTTGCAAAGCTGAACCGGGTCCAGGTCGGTTTCGGATTGGATCGGGGAGCGCGGGTTGAGGTTGCTGCGTTGCAGAGGGTTGGACTAGACGACCCTGGGAGTCCCTTCCACCTCTACAATTCTCAGTTTGAGGTGTTGGTGAAATGGTAGTTGTGTTAAACATCAGCTGCCTCCTGAGTTAAGGGGCGGGGCGTGTGTGTTTTTTGAGAAATTGTGGTTCATTCTCTTGGCTGTAAAAGTGTGGCAATGTTTTTTAGTTGTGTGTGAGAGGTGTGTCCCTTTTGAATATTAATACTGCTCCTGCAAACACATGCTATGGATCGAGCTTGAGTTTGGGGAAAGTACTCTACAATTCAATGATTCAATTATTATTTCTAATAATTTATAATACTCCTTCCTTATTACTCTTTTAACTAATTGTGCTTTTACATTGCATTTATAAATATTTCATGTGGATGTATAAGTAAACTGAGTTTGTAGTTTTACCATAATTATGAAATAAACTCTTCTCTTTGCAGCTGTAGCAAATATTTGCTGAGCCCCTCTGGCATGTGCAACAGTAATTTTTAACTGGCACTTGACTTAATTCAAGTGCTTGTACTATGTCTCTTGTACTGAATCTCTTAAGACAACTGCTGGAATATTATGGTGTGCCACCAGAATTGGTAAGCAAATATTATTGACAAGCTCAGGAGTGGGGATGTTTTATGGAAGTTTTGTATTAAAACAGAGTTAGAGCTATACAGTTTTCACAGTGTTCCATGACTCCATTCTGTATGCTTACCATCAGCGTCTAGGGTTCTTCTGGGGAGTAGAGCAAGAAGACGGCTGAATGATTGAGAAACTTGTATATCCTTCCTGGAGAGGAGGAGTCTTGCAGTTTCAGATTTGATTTCAGCACTGAAAGTGCTTAGTACTGCATTTATCACCAATAACATAGTAGTAAAGAAGAACATCATAAGGGACAAGAATTAGGAGTCAAACAATGTCCTTAACAAAAAAAGGACTATAATAAATATCACGGAAGAGAGGCATAAACCACCCTCTATAATCTGATTGATCTATATAATGTGAGTTTGCCTCTCTGTTCCACTCCCTGCTGACCTGAAGAACAAAGCGAGTCCAACTTTCTGTTCTCAATCAGGAGGGTAGTGCACCAAATAGCAGAGGGGTATTCAGTAGAATAAAGTCTCGGATTGTGAAGGCAGAGCACAGCCACCATGACTAGAGCTACCATGTAGAGCTGGAAGGTTCCTCCTTCCCAGGGATGGCATGAAGTTTTCCCCTCCTGATCCTGCCTTCTTTCTGAAGAAGAGTTAGCTCTTTTCTGTTTGCTTCCCTACCCTGCTGACTGAGAATCTAGAACGTTTGGGTTGATTATAGATTCTTGGATTTGCATAGATTGCCTTTTTATTACATTTTTCTTTTTACAGCTTATACAGAGGTGTGAAGTTTGTCTTAATGCCTTTGCTCATATGATTGCATCCCATCTTCCTTCAAACACCTCTTCAGCAGCACACTTCCAACAGTTATGTGCCATCTCAAGAAGCTATGCAGTAAGATCATCAACATTTTTCTTTTTTCCTTAATAGTGCTTATGAAGTGTGTAGGTGTTGGCTTCTTCCATAGCAATTTTACTTCATGACTAGCTTCACATTTCTGCACTATCAGAAATGTTCTCCAGTGTGTCCTTTCCCTTCACTTCTTTCTTTCTTTCTTTCTTTTCTATCTTGGGAGTTTTCCATACATCATGATGATTAATGATATTTCTATGCCATCCTGTAACCAAAGTTATTGGTGGCATACATAAAAATGTTTAAAATAAAATATAAGCAATGAAAATAAGTTGCAGTATATGCAACACAGGACAGATTATGTAATAAAATTTAGCAAATATATGCTTTTTCACAAGCAGTTATCTTTTTGTAACTTCTACAGTTCTACACTACCTTTTAATAACTTCATGTGCTATTTATTTTTGTTAATGAAATTTCAAGACTGTCCTTCATCACACACGGTTAACACAGGGTGGTTTCCCACATAATGTAACACAGCCTCATATAACATAAAACAGTAATAAACTTAAATTGCTAATAAAAACAATAATCAGTCAAACATGTTGGTGCAGAGTAAATAGAAAGGTCCATAAAAACAAGTGTATTTTAATTTGACTGTTGACTCCCAGCAAGGATGTTACCATCTGTGCTTTCAGGAGAAGAGAATTCTACACTCATGGTGCTACGCCACAAAAGACAAGTTCATATCCTCCATCCCGGTAACCAGTTGGTATGGGAAGAAGTATAACAGGGTTGCAGGTCATTTGAAGTTTTAAAAGTCAACACTAGCATCTTAACTGTGCCTGCTAACATATAGGCAGCCAATACAGATCATGCAGAATAGGTGCAAAAACGGTGCAGATGCACCTATCAATACTCCAGTGGCAGAATTTACCACTAGCTGGTTAAAAGACATCTCTGGATGTCTTTAAGGGATCCCCAGTGTAGAGTGCATTTCATTATTATTATTATTATTATTATTATTATCATTTATTAAAATAATTCAAGGGGGTTTCCTAGGTAAGTAACACCCAGACTATTGAAATGCACTCTAATAGAATAGATAATAGATAGAGTGCATTTCAATAGTTTAGGTGATACTTACCTGGGAAACCCCCTTGAACTTGGTACAACCTCCCTTTGAGTAGACATTCACAGGATTGCACTGTCAGTGTGCTTTATTGAATCTCTCCACCCCCAACCCCATTATTTCATGCCAAGTACTTTTTGACTACTGAAATAATAAAAATAAAAAATTATTTATATCCCGCCCTCCCCAGCCAGAACCGGGCTCAGGGTGGCTAACATCAAAATATATAATACATTAAGACATAAAATTCAGCAATCGACTGAAATACAGCTTAAAATCGGATTTAAATCAAAATAAGATCAGATGGCTACCCGCAAATTATAACTATTAGGGGTTGGGAACTTTAAGTACTCACCATGCTCAGCTATTTGTATGAGCCGGTGAGAAGAGTTAGAGAGGCCACTTATATGCAGGGTCTTGTAAAAGGAGAGGGGTCAGACTGAGCCCCAACCAAAGGCCTGGCGGAACAGCTCCATCTTGCAGGCCCTGCGGAAAGATGTCAAGTCCCGTAGGGCCCTAGTCTCTTGCGACAGAGCATTCCACCAGACTGGGGCCAGGGCCAAAAGGGCCCTGGCTCTGGTCGAGGCCAGTCTAACCTCCTTGAGGCCCGGGACATCCAAGATGTTATTATTTGCAGACCGTAAGGTCCTCCGTGGGGCATACCAGGAGAGGCAGTCCCATAGGTACGAGGGTCCCAGGTTGTATAGGGCCTTAAAGGTTAGAACCAGCACCTTAAACCTGACTCTGTACTCCACCGGGAGCCAGTGCAGCAGATATAGCACTGGTTGGATGTGGTCGCACGGCGAAGACCCCGTACGTAGTCTCGCTGTGGCATTCTGCACCCGCTGGAGTTTCTGGGTCAGCTTCATGGGCAGCCCCGGAGCAGCAAATTACAGTAATCAAGCCTGGAGGTAATCAAGCATGGATCACAGTGTCTAGATCAGGGCGAGAAAGATAAGGAACCAACTGCTTAACATGGCGGAGATGGAAAAATGCTGCCTTTGCTGTATCTGTAACCTGCGCCTCCATAGAGACGGAGGCGTCAAGGGTTACACCCAGACCGGCACTAATTGCGCCCCCGCAAGGGATGGGAGTTTAACCCCCAACCCCATGTCATCTCGACCCAACCAGAAGACCTCTGTCTTTAAAGAATTTAGCTTCAACAGGCTCCCACACAACCATCCAGCCATGGCCTTTTGAGAGATACAACACATAAATTAATGTATCAGGTAAAATAAACATGCTGAATCAGACGTCAATCAATTTATGAAAACAGTTTCCAACTGAAGCATTCCTGGGGAAACCCCCCCTTTCCCCCCCTAAATGTATGATTAAAATTGATGATTCGTGTTTACCTTAAAATCCTGCACAGTAACAATCACCTTTATTTGCCCAAACAGCAAGTGTTTGCATCTGCTACTAAGCTGAAAACCAGCCTACATTTTTTTAATTCCTGCAAAACGCATCTATCTTAAGGTTTTGGTAATGTGCGCATACATTTTATTGGCTAAAATATAGATGACAAAGCAACAAAAGTTATTTTATTGGTTGACAGCTGTTTTAAAAATATTCTCATTTAACTTGAAGAGGATTGCTTGATTCTTAGGTGTCCTGGGCATGGGAAAGAAAGAAGTATGGATCTACCCGAAGTTTCGTTCGCAGACTGGGGAAATATCTTTCTTTAACTCCTTGTCCAAGGCCTCAGTTTCAGGTATAGGGGTTATTGCAAAGTGTAAGATTAATACAATTTTAATACATTATTTAAAATCATGTTCTGTGTGGCATATAATGTAGGGAACAAACAGCAGGCATCCCTAAATGAATTCTACTGGAATTGTGCTGTTTAGGATTTGGAAATTGGTAATAGAAATGTATTTTGAGTTATGGTAGAAATGATTATTATCCAGCACTGAGAATTAAGGAGGAAAATGGATAAAGGGAAGGGAAAATCCTAAATATTTCTATGCTATGAATATGAAAAAGAAGTATTTGAGAGTCCAGAGCCAAATGATTTTGGAGACAATGAGATCATCTATGCTGTAGTACTTGGGAGGGGGAGTACTGAATACTATCTGCTAGCCATTGCAATTCAGCTAAAAGATGGTGCTGTAACTGTGCTCCTGAAAAACAAATTGAGAGAATTGTGCTCTCTCCCACCTAAGTGTTGGCTTTTCAGAAGAGTTAATGGTGGTAGTGCCTCCAAACCTCTTGAAACAATATGTATAACCCTGCTGTTGACAGTTCTAGTTTACCTCATCTTAAATGAATGATTAGAATTTTCAAAGATAAAGACAAGGAGTAAAAAAAGTGGTTGGAAGTATGGCATTGCTACCAAAGAGGGCAATAAAGAGTTGTCATGTTGGAGGCTGCTTCTTGCCATTTGTGTACAGTGGCTTGCCATGCAGATCAGGTGATACTCACCATGTCTCACTTCTCTTTGCCCTTGCGGTTTGATCCATGCAGTGAGCCTCTGCACATCACATATTGACACACAAAGGCAGGCAACCCGCAGTGGCTTAATTGGTGGCTGATTTGTCTGTTCTTGCTCTCAAAAGGTTATTCTGCTTGGCAAATAGCTGATAGGATATCGGACAGGACAACAACATGGTTCTCGTGCACCACTCACTAAACAGAAATAATTCATTAAAATACTAGAACTAGTGGATGCTTGATATTTTTATTTTGTATATAGTATATTTTGTATATATACAGTATATATAAATGTATACTGATATACATTTATAGACTTTTAATAACATTTCTTCCGTGCTGCCTTAGGTAATCCAGAGTTTGAATTCTTTGACATCTGAGCAAAGTATTTCTAGTAGCTCTGTTACACCATCTCTTGCTGATGTTTTGTGGATGGCAGAAAATGAAAGAGAACCATACGCTAGATTTAGGTAAGTAAAACTGACATGTCTTTAGAATAAATGTTTGTTTTATAATGGAATTGTATCAGTGATTCTTAGTTACTGCTTTCCTTACTTTTGAGAGACAATAACAATCAGCATTTGATTTTTTATAAGAACATCATCCAAGCTTTTGCAGTCACATTTATATTTCTCAGTAATGGGTTGTATCCTGAGAATGGAGAGTGAGGGAAGATGAGGATGGTGGCTTTCTCATTCCCTTTCCTTCTGCCCACCCACCGAGAAATGCCTCTCTTAAATGTCAGGAGACACGCCCCCCCCCCAAAGAACAGTGGCATGGGGGGTTTTATTGAGAGAAGAAGATTGCCCAATATGTAATAGAAGCACTTTGTACAAGTAGACTTCTGATTGTGCATAAGAATATAAGATGAACCTGCTGAATCAGGCCAGTGGCCCACCTAGTCCAACATCCAGTTCTTTCAGTGGCCAACCAGCTGCTTATGAGAAGTGAACAAGCAGGATGTGAGTACAACTGCACTCTTCTGCACCTGAGAGAAATGCCCATAAAACACAGACATACGGTATATAGAATTGTGCTGCAGAACACCTAATGTTGAGTTCTGTCATGGTCAGATTGAATATGTTTGTATATCTCTTTACAGTAATAATTTTGGCTTTTTCAGTGTTTCCTCTGTTCACTTATAAATCTATACATTGGTATTTTCTAGATTTGATGAATGGAGAGGAGTTATGCCGGTTGCTACAAAAGGAAGTATGCAAAACTTAACTGTTGTGAATGAAGATGCATTAAAAAAAATTTCTGCTCTTGAGAATGAATTAGCTCATCTTCGTGCACAGATTGCAGCAATTGTGGCAGTGCCTAGATCAGGAAATGATCAACCATGTAAGCCTGTCTTTGTGATTCCTGATACATGTGTCCATGCATGGCTCCTGTTCTTCATAATGTCCAGTCACACTGCCATCTCATAGCAACATTTATATAGAAAACTGTCTTGATATTTCATTATCCAGCACACAGTGTTCATATGTTTAAAAGTTAGATACGTAGTGTAGGCAAGAGAAAACAAAATAACATATATTAGAAATAGAAGTCTAGTCAACACACTAGATAGGAGAGTTATTGGGAATTTTGCCTGAATCCAAAGAACTTGCAATTATTTCTATATATTCCTAGGAGGGAACAGCCTTCTCCCCCCCCCCCCCCGCAATGCTGCCTGGTAAACTTCTTTTCAGATTGAGGGAAAGATCAAAAGCAATTGTGAAATAGTATAGAGGTCTACTGTTCAAACAAAAAAGGGGGAGTCATGGTTGTTGTGTGTTATAAAATATTCATTAATTATGTAAATGAAAGTTGGGGCTCTGTGCATTGCCCATGTTTTACCATTGTACCATACCAGCTGAAAATGTTACTATATTCTTCAGGATTCAGCCTTTTAGAAATGAGGATTATAAACACTTTAACAAATAAATTTGTAAACATTTTCTTTTAGCCCTTATAACTATAGTAATGTGCTTGAAAAGGTGTAATAGTGATGTCTGAAATCTTAAACTAAAGAAGTGGTGGGAGGTTGTCCAGTACAGTTTATTTACCATATTTTTATCCAATTCTTTCTCCATAGAATTCATGGCACTATTTATAATATTACATTTTACCCTTGCAATATTTCTGAGGAAACCTAGGTTAAGAGAGAGTCACTCAGTAGTTGTCATGGCTGAACAGTGATCTGAATCCAGGTCTTCCTTGTCCAAGTCTGAAATCTGCCAGAACCAGTGTAGCATAATGATTTGTCTGTTGAATAATCTTTTTAAAAGAACCTTTCAAGGTAGTATGATTTTGTTCCTTGGAGTCTTCTGTTGTTTCATGGAAGACAACACTTGCTAGACTTTGCAGGTAGTGTTAAAAGTGCATCAAAGGACCTTCATGCCATTGTCATATCAACATTAAAGTTCCCTAATATCACCTCTTTAATTGTTTAATAGGTTCAGGCATTGTGAATTCTTCAAACATGGCCTTTAATGCTCTCCCACAGCCAGGAGTGACTTCGACACCAGTCCCAAGTTCTCACATTGCTGTTCCTCCACCGCCACCAGCACCACCATGTCCAGCTGTACCGCTATCTAATTTTGATTCCCGTAATTCAGCCATTGAGCTTATTAAACAACGTCGGGCTTCAAGTAAGATAAGAAATACTACAGATAGTACAGGTTGGCAGAAGGAAGAAGCTCTTCCCACTATGATGGATGTTCTGAAGGATATAAATAAGATCAAACTAAGAGCAGTTGAGAGGTATGTTGAGCAGAACATGCGTTTGAAGATAAAATAATGAATATAAAATATGGTCAACATCTTCCCTCTGAGAAGTTATTTAAGAGTGCCTGAAACTGGTGTTATATGCACAGGTGCCTAGCTGCTGTCAGCGCCCACTCCTGCTTGAATGCACTTGGACTGATGAGTGAATACTTAAATTGTGCAGAGAACTCACACTGAACTAGCAGAATTATTTCCCCTGAAAATCTAAGTTGGTGCTCATAACCTTCCTTCCTTTCCCTGTTCTGCTGAGTGGGTGACAGAGGACATGGCATTGAAACCTCTCCTGATAGTTCGTTATAGCTGCTACAAAGCATTTTTGCTATATAATGTATTTATTTTTATTTAACAAACTATGTATACAACTTAACTCTAAATACAGTCGCACCTTGGTTCTCGAAGGTAATCCATTCCGGAAGTCTGTTTGACTTCCAAAACGTTCAAAAACCAAGGCGCAGCTTCCGATTGGCTCCAGGAGCTTCCTGCCCTCAAGTAGAAGCTGCGTCGGACATTCGGCTTCTGAAAAACGTTCATAAACCGGAACACTTACTTCAAGGTTTTCAGCATTCGGGAGCCAAAATGTACTAGTACCAAGGCATTCAAGAACCAAGGTACGACTGTACAACCTCAAAGCGGTTTACAAAGATGATAAAAATCACATCAAGATGGCCAATAAAAATCAAATTTTAATTAAAAACAGTTTATTTTGAAAAGGAAGATCGATAAAATCAAAAGCTAAAAATATATGTTCTACAATTTGTTGAATTCAAATAATAGCCATAATAGGTTAGCTTCCTTTTTTCCCTAAGGAGTCTTTTCCTGGATCTGAAAATGAACTGAAATCAAGAATGAGGTGTCTGATAGCAAATGCATGCATTTGATACCTGAATGCATCAGCACATCACATAAATTTGCACGAGATTGTGCTGTTGTGAAGATGCCTACTTGTCATGTAGTTCAATGCGTCTTGGTGTCAGCTCCCCAGACATAGATGAAGAATTGGTTACCAGTTTTATTTGAAAAGTTCAAGTGCCTCCTTCATGCTCTCTCACATGCAGCTGAACTCATGGGAAAGGATCTACAGTGGACTCAATGAGTTCTTTAACTCTCTTCCCCAATACTAGGCCAGGTGCACATAGTGTCAAGTGTCAAGCAAGATACCCAGAATTTACTTTGCATGAGAATGCATTGATTCTTTTCAAAGTGACCCTTTGCTTTCAGAAAGCACTTTGATCCAACACTTTGATCCTGTCCGTCAAACCGGGAAGAAAACAACTTTCGCAGATACACCTCTCCTTGTGACACTTCCCATGCTATTCTGAAGAGTACCCCCAATCCTCTGAAGCAGATTTGTGAAGGCTTTGGTGGTTGAAGGGGGAGAGGGAATCCATGAAAGTTTTCTCTTTCCTGCTTGTATTGTCAGAAGCCTCCCTGGAATAAAAAAAGCCTTCTATCTGTGGAGGGTCACAGAACTGAAGAGGGTGGCAAGTAGTACTGCATGCATTTACTATGTAGGAGAAGCAGCATCTTTGACTGAAGATTGCAAACATTTTGGCTCTCTTTCCAGATCACCAGGAGGTACACCTCTACCCAAAACAAAAAAAAGAATTGCATCACAGTGGGATCCAGCAGCTTTAATAGCAGAAGCTCTTAAAGAGAAATTTGCATCACAGAACAATGATGATTCCTTTGATAAAGAGAACAGATCCTATGGTACTTCTCCATTTTCCAGTCCAGATACCCCAGTGGTATGTATATGTTTTTATTTTGTTAATGGCTTCTGTTATTTATATATGGCATGAATACTAGTGATATAGAATGAAGTCTAATAGTGTCCAGTGTTATGATCTCAATTAAGGGGGGGAAAGCAAATGCTAAATAGTTTGTCATTTTATTAATTATAGATATTTTTGTACAGCTCTTAATTAAAATTGCTAGGGCAACCTACACAAGAACATATAAAGTCAGTTAAAATACACTTACAGCTTACAGTTTATATTAAAAGAAAACAGTAACAATCATAACAGGTGAAACTGTAGCACAGCATAAAAAAGATCAACAGCATTGAAGAGATCTAAAACATACTAAGAGATGTAACCAAATTTAAAAGGTTAATGCTGCTACAAAAGCATTAAGCATGGTTTTAAAGCTAGTGGAGGAAACTTGAGAGTGGACTTCCTGAAGGAGGCTCCCATGTTGATCATTTACCCATGATTAAGGATTGGGAGAGGGTTGCCTCTGCACTAGCTGAACGTCTTTCCCATCCTTGCCCAGTGCTGGCAAGGGCCTTCCATCTTCTGCATTAGGGGCCAGTAGAAGGGGGCTTACTTTCACAGTACAGGGATGGCTTGAATTATTCTGTTGTTTTACAGAGAGGATGCCACACAGTAGCTGTACAGTTGTGATCCCAAGTTTATTTTCTTGTGATACTTTCTCTTGACCCTTATTGAATTCAGGAAATGAGTTAAAAAATAAACTGTCATGCAGTAGTTTCAGTTATTCAGAAGCTGGTGGGAGATTTACAGATGCATTTTGAATTAAATAAATAACTGAACAACAATAATTGCATATGTATACTGCCCATATTTACAGAGACATTAAAAATACAACAGCTACATCCAGAATTAGCAAAACCAGTTATAAAAGCATTAGCAAAATATACCAACATAGACACAATGGCTAAGAACAATTAAAAACCCATATAAAATGAGTTTAGTCACATAATACTAGAACATGACAAACTCAAAGTGGGAAAGGAAGTTGTGAAGCAACCCATGAAACTCTTTGTCATGAAGAGCAGTCGATTTGTTCACATTGAACATAGGAGCAGGTGATGAAATAATTCATTCTGAAAAATGAGTAAAACTTCATGCCGCGTTGTGGCAGACTGTCCTATTACCATTTTGTTTATTTATTTTGCTAAAATATTTAGTGCATATTTCCATCTAATATATGGAAGCCCAACATATTTCATATCAAAATGCTTCTTTTAAAACAGATAAGTTATTTCGTAACAAATTGGTTGTTTATTGTAGGTTTATGTTTGACATTCTCACTCGCTCTACATTGAAGTTTCTTGCTTGGCCTCTTCATTAAGATTGGAGAAAGTGTTAATCAACTCGTATTTTCCTTTTCAATCTTTTCTAAAAATAGCATTTAAAATGTGTTTTGTTTCAGGTTGGCTGTCGCGTTTTGAAGCCAAGTATGAAGCAGACGCTTATTAGAACTAATGAGCTGATGTAGGTATCACCTGCAAAACCAGCAATTCATATTTAGCCATGGTGTAGAGCTTCTTGAGAAAAGCTCTGCCACTGGTTTCGTAGACCTTGATACTGTGCTATAAAGCAACGGCTTTTAGAGCTAGCTGTTTTTCATTAACCTACTTCAGCAGCCAAGCTTCTGGAATTTGTTTGCGTAAAATATTTTATCAGCAGGAGTATGTTTTACTGGTTTTTATAACAACTTTCTAGTCTGGGCTGCAGAATTTAAAGCAGACACATAAACATGTCAAAAAAGGGAAGAGAATAGTACCATAGAAACAAAATATAAATTAATTTGGTTATATGTAGATGATAATATATTTACGAAACAGTATCCTGTTCATTTGTTTTCCTGTAATGGGATTAGCTATTGTGTGAAGAGTTGATGCGTGCTGTGGCGTTTGGCCTCTCCCCTGCACATTCACAATCTCGGCAGCCTTACTTCAACACATTGAGGATATCTCTGCAGAGGGAGCATCTGTCCCACCTAACACATGTAGCCTTTCCCCATTAACTGGGACCCTTATGTACGGAGCTTGCATGTGCTTGATGGGCTTTCCCTTTGTGATCTTGCCCCCAATGCATTTACAATGAGGGAGAGGTTGGGGGTGAAGACACAAAGACAGGACCAGTGGACAGAGCCCCACTTCCTCTTACATGATTGTTAATTTCATGATGGGAACATCACTGAATAGGGCTAATGTGTTGATAATAAGGAATAGCTTCCTCAAAATTATCCCTTTCTCAATTTGATTCAGTGGTGCAGCCTTATAATATCTCAATAATTGGCACCAGTGGTGTTTGCTTGGTTTTGAGTAAGAGACCATTAATTTCCTTGAATACTGTAAAAGTTTGTAAAGAAAACACAGGAACTGTGCATATTTGAAATGCATGATTCAAATAAACATTGCTGTTGACTATTTGCACTCCAGTAAATTTTGCTTACAAAAGAAATCTTTATGTCTAAACTGTATGATCATTCTCCATGACTGAAATATTTCAGATTTTGTAGTCTTGTGTATGAAGATTTGTGGAGGAATATAAGCTATATGATATGTCATTCCCCTTGTAACTTACAGTACACTATACAGGGTCGAAGTGTTATCTAAAAAAAGTTTGCATCTCTTCTACCACAACCATTTAAACTCTGGATGCCCCATCATACATGCAACCTAGATATTGCACAGCCCAGAGAGTTTCTGGATTTTACCCGTAATGTGTGTTTATCAGGTTCTCCCCATGTATTCAAACCTTCTGGTGGACTCCTGCGGACTTTTGAGTGTTGCTTTTTATTTATTGTATTTTTATATTTTTATTTACTTACCGTATTTATATTTTTATTTATTTTCCCAGTTACAGTGCATTGTTCCTTATAATTCTTGCAAATGGGTTTTTTTGTGTGGATGGCAAGCAGAGGAAATTTGGCTCAATATATTGGTTTCCTTCCCTGAGATTAAATTGCTTCCTTCTGATAATTTGTTGCTTGATATTGTATTCTGTTCCATCATTGCATGGTTCTTTCTCAAGGGAGAGATAACTTTTAGTTCTGTATTGATATTTGCATAGACAAAGACATTACTTGGCCTGTATCATAAATAATGTGATAGCAGTAAATGCATGTAATTTGAATGTTGGCTATGTGTGCCTGTTTAGTTATTGAGTGATGTGCCACTCTAGAGCTAACAGTACATTGATGTCTGTCTTAGTATGTCACCTCTTAATTGTAAACAATTAGCAGTGTGTGATATATAGCCTTTTAATATTTAAACAGTGGGTTAGAGATAACTTGGAAGCCATGTATGGTTGGGTGTTTTTTTGTGGCAGCAATGGCAATTCTAGGACAAATTAAAAGATATGCAATACTTGCCTTCTAATCAGACCTAAACCTATTTATCTTCTTGAACAACAACAAAAATGCATTGTATAACTTGCAAAGTATTTCTCCGTTAGTTTTGTAGCATATTGTCTGTCTCTCAGTTGTTTGAGGGGAGAGGTGAAAAAGGAGTCAGGTTGGAAGGACAGCAGATGCAGGAAACTCTGCTTCTAGCAGTATGTCTAAGCTATATCAAAGGTCTCCAGAAGGCAAGCAGCAATTCACAAGAAAATTAAGGCCCTGCATACACTTTGCATAACAATGTCAGTAACAGCCCCCCCCAAAACACATTTTGGATTTGAGTGTTATCTGTATCTCCTTTAGACATGGCAATTATTACTCTCAACTGTTGTAGATTTTATTGCATAAAAATCTTTATACCATACATTTTGAGTGAGTAAAAACCTTGTCTTAATGAGTGTTTCACTCATGCTAAAAGAGAAATATTTTATAGGAGTTGTTTTTTCCATGTTTGTCATAATTTTCAGTTGCTTGTAACTTTTCCAAACGGAATTCATTTTGTATTTGAATGTTCAGTTGTGGTTGTATTTTGAACAATGAAATTTTGAGAGTGAGGTTGGTTTTCATAGAATCATAGAATTGGAAGGGACCCTGAGGACTATCAAGTCCAGGGTTTCCCAAACTTGGGTTTCCATCAGTTTTTGGGCTACAATTACCATCATCCATGACTGTTAGCTGTACTGTTAGCTAGGGATGCTGGGAGTTGCAGTCCAAAAACTGAGAGAGACCCAACCTAAACTAGCCTAAACTAGACTAGCCTAAATCCATTTTGTTTCACTGTCACTGGTCCTCAATCATAGGTTCATTTTACATGCACTTCCCCACAAAACACACATATTTCAATGCTTTTGAATGCATTTCCTTTTTTAATATGACTTAATTTACCATATTTTTCGCCCTATAGGATGCACTTTTTCCCCTCCAAAAATGAAGGGGAAATGTGTGTGCGTCCTATGGGGCGATTGCAGGCTTCAGGAAGCTATCCGCAAGCCTTGGGAGCCCGCGGGAGTTCCCGCCGGGCTCCCAAGGCTTGTGGACAGCAGCTTACAGCCCAAAATCCGGGGAGCGCAGCGGAGCGTGCCCTGGGCTTCGGGCAGATATCCTCAAGCCTGGGGAGACTGGCGGGAGTTCCCGCTGGGCTCCCCAGGCTTGCGGATAGCAGCCTGTTCTGGGGTCGGGGGAAGCTCGGGCTTCGCCCCCCGCCCCCCCGCCTGGGGGGGAAATAATTTTTTTTTTCTTTATTTCTCCCCCCCCCAAAAAAAAACTAGGTGCGCCCTATAGGGCGAAAAATACGGTACATAAAATACGTATTATTGTGCACAGTTTTTTGGACCAAAACTATTGCAAAATCCAGAGGAATGTATGATTGCATTCTGAGCCAAAAGGACGATCGGAAAAATATGGAACAAATTCCTCCGTCAGCCTGATTGTGAAAATGGTATCTCAGTCACATCATTTACCATAGATGTTAATGACCAACCCATGTATTTTAAATGTGATTAACACATGCTTCTAACCACCAGAGGGCAATCTGATACTATAGCTTTGCCAAAAAAAATAGTTTTGCTTTTATATTGCCTGTCTTCCATAGACAGCACCTTTTCTTCCCAGAAGTAGAGTTTAACAACCAAATACCTTGGTTTTGTTTTTAGTCTGTTGATATTCATGCTATGAAGTTTCTAGGTCTTTGTAGATACTAAAAGAACTTGAGCGTAGAAGGCTAGTTTCTCAAAAGCTGCAGTTGCCTGGTGATAAACAGGATTCCTGCATATCCAGAGGTAAATTCCCCTCTCTGTGGGCTCATTACCACATATTTCTCTACTATTGTGCTATGCTACTTGTTCTGTTAGCAGTCCCCCGCACCCTGATTTGTATGGCATCCCCATTCTGTTGGTGTCTTTAGAAGATTACAGCTGCACCAGCACTTGGAACTAGACCAGCTAGCTGACCAGCTATTTCTTAATGTGGACTGTAGTGACTGTGGTATTTCTTGTGTGAGTTCTTTGCTCAGTGTGCTTGCTGCTGTCTTCCCCTTCTCCCTGTGGTCTGTTAATATTTATCAGTGGAGTGAAACCTCTACAAGTGCTCAGTCCTCATGATGCATGGTTGTTCTTTGTCTTCTGGTGCTTGTGCATCTCCTGATATTGTATGGGAGCTCTAACTCTTGGCAGTTGTGTTTTGCAGTTCTCTCTTACATTTCATACGGTCTTCTTTCCAAAACCAAAAAATCAATGCATTGCATGGCATAGAGTTACCATTGCCTGGCACAGAATTAGTAATCACCTCTGTAGCCTGGATTTCTTGGATCTCCTGGATCCTGAGATGCAAATGGGACTTGAGGTTCCTTTATCTGGAGCATATTCTAGGGCTTATTTTTTATAAAGCAGAAGTGCCATCTGGTGATACACTGCTAATCATAAGAATTTTGGTGCACTAACATACCTCCCATAATCCAGTAATCTCCCCTCAAGTCATTTTTAGTATCTTAAATAATACATTTTATCTGATAAAACTTTTTGCTTCATCTAAGGAGTTTTGCATCTTTTAAAATACTGATGGTTTTTTCTACAGCATTTTACCATGCATTAAGCATTATTTCAAGTTAAATAAGTAGAAGGGGGAAACTCAGCTATAGAAAATATCATCATGCGAATAGAGACAGCACTTTGGTTGTGGTTTATTATTTTTAATTTGCTTATCTTTCAATTGATAAATGAGCATTGGCTTATATTTCACACTAGGGTTAATATAGGTTGAATAAATTCTCCGTACTTGGTGTTGACTAACTTTTATATTTATGGATATTTGATAAAAAACACTGCACAGAACTCTGACACTTGGAAAATTATGGAGTGCAGTATGTTCTCAACTGCTGGAAAAGCCCGAAAATGGGATCAAAATTTCTAGCATATTAACTCATAATGCAGATTGGCATAGGCAGCCCAAGTAACAAATGGCATGAAATTGAACGTTGGGCTATAGGAGTCATGTTACCTTTTCCCACCCTCATCAGTTTTTGATTTGGTAATGGAGAATTTCTACTAGCAGTCAGAAATACATGGTTTGTTTCCTTGACTAACAAATATAAAAGTTATTAGGATACTTCTGTGACCAAGAGGGGCTTCAAGAGATCCTGATGGGGGGGAGGGGAGAATCCTGATTAAAGAAAAGTGAGAAAATAGGGGATGTTTTGACATCTAAATGTTGAAGTGCATTCTGAGAACTTCTTACTAATTGTATGACGTGCTCTAAGAGGGCCAAACCACACGGATTGCTGTGGTAAGAAGTATTACCCACTCCTGAACCAATTCTGAACTGTAGGGGGATTTTCAGAAATAGTCTAGAGTGTTCAGCAGGCTTGTAGAATTCAGCCTGTATTTATAAACAGCATCTGAAAGTGGCAAAAATTCTTGTGAAGATGCAAGCACAAAGCAAATGCTTGACTAAATTGGCTAAAATGTGAGATATGCACATATGCAAACATCATCCTTCTGTATTTTTTTTTATTAACAGTTATCTTTTGACATGAATACTTACAGCAGTATGTTAAAGATACAGTTTAGTTCTTGGCATCACTGCATAGCAGTCACAATTTCACACAAGGCCTTGTTCAGACCTAACACTAAACCACAGTTTGTCTGTTTAACTTAACTGTAGTTTGTACATCCAAACCCTCCCCAGCCACCTAACTATGGCTTATATACAACCAGGATATTGGAATATGAAATCATGGTTTGAAGCTGGTTCATGATTCTCTGCTTGCTTGAACTATGTTCGTCATTGCAGCCAAACTTGCTATCCTGGGTTAATCCCTTTTGTTCCAGCCTTGTATCCCAGCCACCCACATGGGTAAGAGTTGTTAGAAAATGCTCATGCAGCCAAGTGAATCTCACTGGCAGTTTTCCAGCACTTTCCTTCGTTCCTCCTCTGCCTAGCATTAGGGTTCCCCACACCCATGCCATGACAAGCTCTTCCTTTCCAGCCTGCCAACCTAGCTCCACTTTGCCATGAGAAAATTTATGCCATTTTTTTACTAGCATGTATCCAAGAGCACATGTTGAAAGCATTCCTTTGTTCTTAGTATCTTACCCCAATTTTAAAGACAAATGCAGCTTCACAAAAATCCTATCTATAGCAAGTACATGAAGCTGACCTTTGTTCTTCCCCATTTATGTGCTTTTGGCAGTTCTGCTTCTGGGAAACACTCATGAACCTTCAGTACTTAGCTCTCTGAAGTCCCCCTTTGGTCAGTATCATGCTATCACCATGGACTCAGGCAGTCCAAGGATGATTGCTCACTCAGAGTAATCATACTAGTACCAAGGTTTGAAGATTGTAAACAACGTGTGATAGCAATTATTGGGGAGAGTGTGTTTTTTAAAAAAAAAATTACATAAACACTCTTTGTTACTTTGTATTCCCTTGGAAAGATGGTGTTGTTTATGTGTGTCAGCTGCATTAGCAATATCTCAGCTCTGCTGCTGCAGACTAGTAGTAGCTGTTGTTACAGAAGCAAAAGACAAGAAAGAGAGAGGGATTTTTGTTGACACATGAAGAAAAGTACAAAAGGGAACTCTAGAATATGAACTGCATTGAGGCGATACTTAGCCAGCTGTCCAAAGAAATGTCCTTGAAAGGGTTCAGTTGTTGCATTCTTCAGTGCTGTGCAAAGATGAACACTCTTAAAAGCTTTTTAAAATTCTCACTACTCACAATAAGCACTCTGGGGTAGAACCATGCACTGTGCTGTTCTACTATAAACTAGCCTCACTCCTAGATACAGATGCCACCCTTGGCTACTGGGCAGTCAGCAGCATTGGTGGCCAAGACAGGCTGCTCCATTGCTGGCTAGGCAGATCATCTCTTCTGCTCCTGGAATTTCTGGAGAGGTATCTTCGGTGGCAAAGCTTCAGTAAGTGCCATTATCATGGTAGCCATGTACAAACATCAAGAGGACAAAAAGGCTGATGGTGTCTGTACCAGAAACAACTGCTATATCAGCCTGAATGTGCTGTCAGATGCCTCAGAGGAACTGTGCAATGGGACCAAGAGGGCTGATGAATTGCCTGTGTATTTCCTACAGTCTTTTGAGGACTGGTTCACCACCTTCCTTAGGTTCCAAGATAGGAAAAGAAGAGCAACCACCATCCAGAGCTCCAACTACAGGTAAGAAACTTGACATAATGCAGACCTTGGCCCCATAGATAGGTCTGTCAGAAGTCGGAGTCAGGAATTGATTTTTACAAAGTTGGGAGCAGACTTCAAATATGTTCAGGTATGAAACAGAGGTTGGTGGTTTGGGGTATGTTCATGTCTGTGGAAAGAGTCCATCTTACATTGCTTATGGTTGGGAAGTTTGGTGTTTCATTCACAGCTATGAGGGTCTCTGGAGGCAGAAATTGGGCAAGAGTCTTTTGTGTTTACTGGGTGATTGGTAAAGCTGGGTGGGTAGTTCTTTCAGAGCTGGTGTCGGATGATTGAGTATCCACTGGAGTAGTATATGCATCCCTTCCATTATCATCAGTCATATTTTGGGGTGGCTAACAAATTTCAAAGAAATGGCCATGGAACTGCAGGGAGATGTCTTGCAGCAAGAAATTATTTTATTCAGGAGGGTTGAGAAGGAAGGATTTAGAGATGTGTAGGGCATTCTGAAGAACTGGGGAAGAGAGGAAAAGTTTGTGGCTTGTGTTTGGCATGAGGTGTAACAAGTATGTTCCTGCCCCATTTTTGTAGCTAGGTAGTAGTAAGAGAACCAGTAATGTGAAGGCCATGCCATTCCTTGGCCACTGCAGAGGCAGCAGAGTGGGCAACAAGCCAGCATTACGCAAAACAATCCATTGTATCAATTGTGAACAAAATGCATGGCTTGGTAAACAAACTGGTTTTAACGAACTGTGGCTTGGTGTTATGCTCAAACACAATCTATTGCTTCCTTTCAGCTTAATGCATATTAATACACAATCATAGTAGCTAAAGTTTGGTCCTACATTTGGTTTTGTTAGGACCATGTGATACTATTTGGCATAGCTTTATGTAAAAAAATGTGTTTTATACTCAAGTTTAACTTCTATTTGCATGTAAAATTTATGTACCTAAATATATATATGATTGAGTATTACCAATGTTATTCTCATCATCTGTTAGCAGGAGAGGAATGGAGCAAATTTTCAGTGATCCCCAAACTAAAAAATCTTCTTTGGAGGATCCCCCAGCCCTTCAGAGCAGATTTAGGGAAGCATAGGTAGGTAGCGGAAGGGAGGGGAATAATTGGAAATTGCCTAAATCTCTGTTTTGCTGACATGCCTTCCATCAGTTCAGTGGAGAGACAGCAGTGGATGCCATCCGCTGTGCTGAAATATTTGCCACAATACAAAAGCAAGAGTTTCTTTTTGCAGTATGGTTCCCACAGAAATAAATGCTGTTGAGGGTGTCTTATGCCCATATCTAGTTAAAGAACTCAGACTGACCCGTGAATAGACTGCTTGGTACATGACCTATCAGAATAAAATTGTCCATGATAGCCATTCTTCCATTCAAAAATGAAAGAAGATAATGCCCAGAGAAATCTTGTTTTTCAGACTTGGGGAGAACATCAACATACTCTAGAATTTTTGTTTATTTGTCACTTCCAGGTAAATGTGCTTAGGAATTGCAGCCTTTATTTAAAGTGTGTGTCACTGAAATCAGTGAGACTTCTCACAAGTATATGAATATAGTTTTGGAATATTTGAGTAAATTGCAGCTAGGGTTTTAAAGTGCACTGGTATCACAATGTGGCCCACTTGCCCACCTAAATTGAAAAAGAAAGGAATCTGATAAGAATTGTAGAAAAATGTCAAAGTGGAGTTAAATATTGAAACATTCAGGAATTTATCCTTTTCAGCAATCTGCTCATCCCTCCTTTATGGTTGACTTCAATCTTCAGAAAGACACAGAGATACCACGGTAGGTAATTAAGGTTAAAATAATAATCTATGGAATCCTAATTAGCCTTTTCTTATCCTGATATGTGGAAGAAAATCTTGAACAGTCTTTGCTATAGTTTTGACAAGTTAATGCTGCTATTACTATTTATATAAAGCTCCTTTCTTCACAGAGTGAAATGTGGCTTCAAAGTCCATTTTCACACTAATCTAAAGAGATCACACTAGTATTTTATTTTTTCAACCTAAGCTTTCCTTTCTGCCTTGGGACTTACTAAGGTTTACATTCCTTTGGCTTGGAGACTCTGTGGCTCTTGCTGTGTATTTCTTAGTTCTGGTTTTTGGCAAATCACTGATATTTCACTTCTTAATGCTTGCTTTTAGTATCTGTTTTTTAAACTAATGGAAGTAGCACTTCAAGACATTCATTCACACAACCAGGTTTTTCCTACAGTTGGTTGTAATTTATCATGTGCTGGTGGCACAGATAGAGCTCCCTTATTAAACGAACAGTGCACTCATCTGTGTCAGGGAAGCTGAGACAGAAAAAACTGATTACCGCTCTAGCTGTGTGAATTGGCTATATGGAGTTGCTATAGGCCTCATTAAGGCAATGAAAGTGTGGGTGTTTCCTAAGCACAGGTGTACCATATCTCGTCCAGAGAACTCTTGAGTTTAATCAAAATGTAATGCTGTTGTGTAGCTGTATGTCACAGAGTTCTTGAGCACTGTTCTTCAGTGAATTTCTTGCAGTATGTTGCAACTAAAATGTGTGCCTGAAGCTCTGTTTGCTCAGTACACTTTCTTCCACGTTGTACAAAGGGAGAAAAAGCTTTATATTTCAATCTCTGAGCAGAAGTAAGCTCTTGATTTGACTTGCAAACAAAATGTTCTTTTGCATTGTTGTGAGTTTGCTTTTCTGCTGTGTTCCAATTCAGGCAACACCTAAGATTTCATGGTAGTTGACTTGTTCCTTATTTTGATGATGAATTTTTTGAAATCAAAGGATAGTTAAACTTTATGATGATTCACATTTCCATTGCAGGATGCATACGGAAGAATGGGCTGACATGTAATTGTATGTACTCACTTGCCTTTTGAAATTAATCTGTCATAGAAACTCCCTCATAATTGTATAACAGTTTGGTTATCATGGAAATTAAGGAGTACTTATGTAATAAGCAATTTTATGGCAAATCTGGAAGTAGTTCACACCTAATAGTCACATAACTTATATGTGACTAGTGTAAAAAAATAATGGATTGGATGGTTTTCAAGATGATTTTTCTTTAAATTGTTAAACACATCACACTCTCAAACAAGTCTAGGAAATCTTGTATTTTTCTCTGAATTTCAGCAGCCCAAAATAAGATGTAACTATCATCATGAAATGTGCTTGGTGAAGCACTAGTAGATAAGCAAAACCATTAATGGTTCTACTTGTATATAGGAGAAAGTGAGTCCAGAAAATTTCCCCCCTATATATTCAGTAATCAGTTACTGTACTCCCATATTTCTGCTAATTTTGGCATGCAAAACTGAGTTCATGAGATTCAAAATGAGCTGTTTGTGATTGTTGTAGGTAGAGTACTTCTCATTATATGATAAAAAGAATGAGCTTATGTCTGACAGGAAATATGACTTTCAACAAATTTTTGGTGGGGTGTGCCTCTCTACTCCCAATGATTGTGGATACATCTCAGCATATTCAATTACTGCAAAATTTCAACAAGATCCATGACTACGATGAAGCCCTTGCTGATTTTCCCTAAGTGTTTATTCTCTAAGCTTCATTGGGTTGCAGTTTGCCACCATGTTCCTAAATAAGGTAAAATTTTGTGAAAAATATGGACAGATCATTTGAAAATACGAGGAGGGTAGGGATTGGCAACAACTGAACTGAGTGCAGCTTAACTAGAGCAGTGTGGCTTAACACTACAGAGCCGCAGGTGTATCAAGCATTCAAATAAATTGCCCTTCTAATCTAACCCTTGGGCAACTGAAAACAGGCCGGACTAAAATGAGATGACTTTTGATAGCCATCAGAAAGTAATGGATGCTAGAGGTTAAGGCCTTTATCTGCAAACAAAAGTGTATTAATAGTCTAACATCTTTACAAATGCTTCCAATACTAAAACTAACAGTATTTTGTTCACAGTGCCATTGTTTATATAGGTAGCTTTCCCATAATACTTTGTTATTTCGGTATGGGATCAGTAGCGCCTTATATGTACAGGAGACACACATGTGCGAATATAAACAGGTCACAGATACAGTCATCAAAAGAGACATCTGGAAACATTTAAACTGTACAACTCTTCCCTTTTGGATTTGATAGGAAATACTGTTCTTGCAGTGAGAAGAATGCCAGTCTTTTACCTAAAGTGGCATAAAATGGTTAACAAAATGGGGCACCACCATGAAAAAGCTTTGTGTACACAGAATAACCTTACATCAAGGTTCTTAGATTCCTTGTCCAGTGCACCAAATACAAAAATTAAAAAGGCTTTAATTGTTTAAAATGAGACGCTTTTCTCTTGCATGGCCAGATGTCCTTCTGACGGTGCTGGTGGTGGGTTTTAATGTGCAGCCCAGCTGCCAGACTGAAGACTGTACATTGCTCTAAGCCGTCATTCACAAACACACGTCACAGCATGACCCAAAGTGAATGCAATAGATAACCAAGAATGCATTGGTCTTGCCTGTATCCTCTAATCCTCTTATTAGTTGGTACCTGCCTACTGCCCCAGCTTCAGCACTACTGAAAAGCTTCTCATTCAAGCAGTTTGTGATCAGAAGTGATGAATGGCTTCAGATAGTAAGATGAGGAAGTGGGATTTGGCTGAACTTTAGGGCCAAACCCCGAAGTGGTGTAGGTTTAGTTGAGGAGGACATCTGTCACTTTGGCTTTCCTCCCTGATTTCTTCGCTTCCTGCATTGTTGGCCATGGCCCAACAGACCCCTTAGGGTTTTGTTCACTGTTGTGAAAGGTAGTAGCACTGCAGCAGAGTGCTAAGCCAGCACTATGGGGCTTCTCCTTCATTTAAAGTCTGTTCTTCATTTTCAGTCATTGGGACTGTGTGGTCAGTGCTCCTGCTGCTGCTGTATTGCTTATGAAGCAGACTTCTCCACTTGGTCTTGTTCCTCCTCAGATGGTTCAGCATGTTTTCAGATAAGGGTGTGTTCCCAGTAAAGTTGGCCCATTCTTCAAAGAGTGGCTCTACAATGTAGGTCATGAAGCCTGAGGGAAAACACGAGGCAGAGCATATCAGCAGCTAAGTCAGCTAGGCCTTCCTGCTAGTACAAAGCTTGAAATAAAACCTGTGGACCATGTTTTCTTCAGCAGTGATGGGGGGGGGGCGGGGCAGGGCAGGGGGAAGATGGCAACATTGGAGCCTCATGTAGCTTCAGGCCTTCAATTTATTTAAATTTAATGTAAATTTATGTTAATTAGGCTGGCAACACCACCAGTTGCTTCTACGTCAACTCCTTTCTTCTGCTGTTTTCAGCAATGGAAATTGTCTAATAAAAAAGGGCAATGGTATACCACTTGAACTGTGTGGACTTGCCCCATGCAGAAGCTTGAATTAGTTGTCTAATCCAATTTTAAGTTTAAATTGAATTAAATTTGAATTTGTTTAATTCCTGCAGAGACGTTGCTAGCTTATCTAGTAGCGCCCCCTGTCCTGAGAGCTTATTTACTAGTTCAGGAAGTCTTAGGGCTACTTTGCACATTCCAGAAAAGGATATTACAACTCCTGATAAACATCTGTTCAATGTCTGAAACAGTAATTAGAGTTGGGCCATAAATTGTTGCGAACTCATTTCATGTGATGCTGCTACTATTATAAAAATATCAGACATCTATCTTTTTGAATTTGATCTCTGGGTAAATTCATATTTAATTACTCAAAGAAGACAGACACCAAAACAATTTAATCTGTCATTGATTTTAACCATAGCTGGTCCAACTTTTGCATACTCCAAAGCTCAGAGAAAAGAAGAAGCATTTCTTTGAGCAAAACATTTAAAGGTTATAACTCTCTTTTGTTTGGCAGGCACAGGACCAAAAGATGATTTATTTTTAAATGGAAAACAACCATTGAGTTATTCAACTAACGAGCTTTGTCCTAAAATTCTGTCCTAGACTTAAGAGTACTTTGTAAATAATCTATCCAGGTTTGGGGGAGAATGGAAGTTTTTTGCATCTTAGTGACTTGAATTATTTGAAAGAGATGAAGGTGAAGTAGATCTCCAATTGCTTATTCAAAATGTGCAAAACTGGGGTGCATCACACCTCTCAACTTCACAGGCGCATGTGCTTCGATATATGCAAAGGGGGAAAGGGGAAGATGTGGAGGATTCCTGGAAAACTACAAACAACTTGGTACTTCACAAATACAGGATTTCAGATTTTGTTTCCTTGTTAAGTATTTAATTGAGGCTGTGTTGCAGAAGGTAAGCAACAAGGTTCATCTAGAGGCATTTCAGGCAGCACCCTTTTACTGGGTTGGTGGTC